TTGGTTTCCGTTCCGGAAGTGGGGGGGGGGGCGGCGCGGGCGCCTGGGTATATAGGATCGTTGGGTGTCGGCTACAGCAGTGCTGACATCACGGATCGTTGTGTAGGACTTTAGCCCAGCGGCTAATGATTGTTAGGTGTAGCTTGTAGCGGTGCGGTGCCAGTAAACATGCCAAAAGTAACCTAATTTTTTATCACAGTGAGGAAGACGACAATGACAATAAAAACAACAGCAAGAATCACAACAAGAATACTAAAAAAAAAAAAAGAAAAAAAAAAGAAAAAAAAAACCATAGAAATTTCTGTCCTGTTACGGCAAAGACTGGATCCGGCCACTCATCAACCTTCAATGCGGCGGGCAACGTCCCGCAACGTCTCTTGGCTAGCTTTCAAGGCATTGCTGACCCGGCGATGGAATGCAACATCTCTCTGGCTCTCGTTCGCCGTGTTTTCATCTCGCAAGAGATTCAAAGTGTTTCTTATCTCAGACAAGTAGGACTGTACGGCCGCCGTGACGTCGTTTTGCGCCGTTTTCGCGAGCTCTTTAAACTCTGTCCGCAGCTTCTTCATGATGCCGTCAAACAAATCTTCGTTGCCAAACGCCCCTGTAATTATAGCTTTGCGTCTGCCATGCGAGCCGGTTCCTTTAATCGAAGATGATGGTCATTACTATACATGCCTTTTTTTTTTTTTTTCCTACCCGATGAGAGACTTACCGCTTTCATGGTTGCATGCATCATACGAAGATTCCATAGCTAACCCAATGTATGAGGTTCTCAAGCTTGAAAAGGCATCGGTTCGTAGCTGCCTAAGAAACGCTTAATACCTGGCCCCAATATGTGCCACTCCACAAATGCATCTTGCCACTCACCTGAGTTGTAACGAGACACTCTCAAATGCGTTCTGAACGGCGTCAAGGAGGAGATCCTGCTCCAAGTACAAAGCGTGTCGCAAAGGGGCCATGGCAGCAAGGCTACTTATAGTATGATTCTCTGCAGTCGTTTAGAATAACTGCCCGCTAGCGACGAGCAACACTTTCTTTCTTCGCGGTACTTACCCAGCTTTCCAGCGACATAATTTGTTGAACTCGTATGAAACTCTGTTATTCTGGCTTCCTCTGCTTGCGCACGTGATACCAGAGTCTGCCACGGAGACTTCATGTGTCGAGCCATCTGCCCGTTGGCTTCTCCATTCCAGTCATGGTGCCCAACGGCATTTGTGGTATAATTCCCGTATTGGCGACAGAATGCACTGTATGTAGCTGGCAAGCGTTAGTGAGAACGGTGCGACCTGGGTGTGGCTAGTTTACCGTGATGCCACTGCGTCATTTCAATCAGCCTCTGAACGCGAAAACACAGCTGTTTTCAAGATCACTTACAGCGGACCATTGATGGGCTGCGGCATATGCCGATTCGCTCCATTCATTCACTCGACGCTCTAATAAAGAGTATCAGCCTCGTAAATACAAGAGAAAAGACATGGGGCAATGGCTATACATACTCTCGTACACTTCTGCTTCGAAAATCTGGCAGAGTACCTGGGAAATGTTTCGAAAAGGTGCTTGGCGGTCGAGAGCCTGTTTGACAGGATCAACGAAACGTTACCTGAGGTGATCTGATTCTGGTCAGAAACCTACCGATTCAAGCCGGGCTTCGACATCATCAAGTGCTGTCTTTACAGCGGCCCTAAGCTCGCCGTCCCAAGTATCCTCGCCTGACTGTACCCAAAGATCAATGGCAGCCAGCAGCTTGGGGATGTCCGTCTTCATAAAGCCAGACGCCTCGCGGTGCTGGTTCGCAGATACAATCGAGACACAGTGTCGACGCAGATCAATGATGCCGCTCAAGTTGATGTAGGCCTGGGCAATCTCGATCTTTGCCTGCCGCTTCTTTTGGTAGAGAGTATTGCTTACACAAAAAACATTGGTATCTGCTAAAGAAGGATCAGTTCGGTACTTTCTGCGCAGACCTTTGACTAGATCGTCGTTCCGGCATTTGATCAGAAAACTTTGTAGCCTGCGGAACCTCGGTTATCCTTTGTTCTTCTGATGGCTTTCCATTGAATGGGAAATTCACGTTGACTTACTCGAATTGGCAAGCCTCCTCGCTTTTCCTAGTTTGAGCAGTCAGTCTTGCACTCAGAGAAAGCAATCGGGCTACACTCACTTGGCCTTGAGTATGTTTGCGTTGAGTTCACTCAATATCCGAGTGTTCTCATGGAGGGGATGTTCTTCTTCTATGAAGCTCTCCAATTCCTCTTCCAATTCTTCTATAGTGTATAAGTGCTCGTCAATCGCCGTCAAATTCTCATTGATGGTGTCTGCTCGTTCTCCGGGCCAATCTTTTTTGCACTCCTTTGCGTTGATGGCCTAAAGGAAGAGAAGTGTTATCAATCACATCTGTAATGGGTCTATTCTATTCATGATGAGGGAACGATGGGGAGAGCCATGTACCTCGGAGTTTGTGCATATGATGCTAATATTTTCCAGATGCTCTGCCATCCGGAAAATCTCTTGGACTGTCTCATCGTCGGTGGCACGAGCAGCCGGGCAAACAGCAAATATTTCATTACACTTTCGAATGTAAAGCTCAGTAATATTTCTTCGCGCAGAGTTAATGTCGCGGAGTCCTAAAGGCGTTAATGGACAGTAGTATGAGCGTGTAGGGGAGAGAATCACATACCGGGCAAATCCACCAGGATCAATCCCTTCTTTAGTATCTGCGCATTGAGAAATACCCTATTCAAAATCAACACATTTCCAAAGAATCATCGTGAAGCTGATAAGATGTACTTGATATTCTCAATATAGGGCCAAGCAGCAGCTCGAGTAGCGGGTTCTCCTGTAGAAGCTGGAGCGGAGGTCAGCTCCCTCAGCTTCTCCGAGCAGGCTTCTTTTGTAAGGCCAGTCATGACGGTATGTGAGATTGAAGGTCTGAGCTCCGTAATCAGACGTCTAAATATGCTCTTCAGGCAATCTTCGTCTTCATTTAGGAGAGTATTTTGACTCGGAATTTGGCTCTGAAACAGTGAGCTGAATGTGTCTCCGGCAAGCCTCGCCAGTTCACCAAAGTTGTCTTGCTCGGCTTCGGACAGATCTGCGAGATGAAAATGGCGATAGGATCTCAAAAGCTGCATTTGCTGCTTCAAGAGCTCGTCTTCGTCAAAGAGCTGAAGTTGAATGCTGAGCGTGTCCGACTCGTGGTAGTGAAATTCAGTAGCTGCGCATGTGCAAGCCTCGCCAGCGCTGCCCTATTTTGCCGTCATTAGAATCTCCTTGATAAGAAAACGCTTCCATCTCACCGATTTAACCAGATCGACTTCGTCGAGCAACGAGTTCAAGACGCTGCTCTTCCCTATTCATCCTGTCAGCGCCCGTGCCCCAGACGGAAATCTGTATGGACTTACCAGCGCCTGCGCCACCCACAAAGCCCACAACTCTCGTTGAAGTGGGCTTGAAATTTGCCAAGGCGACAGCTTTCCTATGTAGCTCATGCATTTTCGATTCTTCTTCCCGATGCAGTGGGCTGCTGCTCAGCACGTCGGCCAACTCTCCCGCAAGGGCCTTGGCGAGGCACAGCGCGGACTGAAATTCGGCCGAATTGAAGGCATCCTTCGGGGGTTCTTCGTCAGCAACATTGTAACGTTTCAAACCGCTTGAGCTGCGTCTATGTGTCGACCCTCGAGACCGGTCTCTCTGGTCTGGAAGGGGCGTGAGGCTTGGCCGGGCAGTCCGCGGTGTTTGAGCCAACCGACTTTCGTTCAGTGCAGATGATAGATCTTGAAAGTCAGAAAGCCCCCCGTTGCTGTTTACACCCAATTGGGCGGCAGCGTCGCATAGCTGATCCTCGGTGTGGTCTCCGGATCTTGCTACCGCCCTTGGACTTGGAACAGTTGACAAGGCATACTCTCTTTGGTCAGGGCCAGGGGTAGGGGATACGGATATCAAGGGAGTTCGGAAGCTGAACTCGTTCTCTGATGTGGAAGAACTACCAGCTCGGAACAGGAACGGGAGGGGAGGGCTCTCTTGAGAGGGTAGCGGAATGTCTCGCTCGCCTCGAGGCGGAGTTTTTGCTCGGGGACGAAGATTAATCTACCGCCATGTTAGTTTCAAGTAAAATGGCATGCAAATACTGTCCATGCCTTTGTCATTGTGGAAAGAACCGCGCACCAACGTCGAGCGTAGCTTGGGTACGACGAACAACTGTGTTACAGCGATGGGCAAGGCTGGACTCTAAATAGAACACCGGGCTGCAACAAACGTTCGCAAGCATGTCATCTTGACCCCTCATGCCTTCGTAAACAGGCTGCATCCACACATGCACCGAGCGTACAGAGGAGTGTGGAGCTGAAGTATCAATTTCGTGCAGAGAGGCACATGATACTACTGTACGCGCTGGTGGCTTTTCAGGATGGTGAGATGCGCTGTTCACCGGCGCATAGTCGCCCACGGTCGCGGCCAACTAAGCGTGTGCCAACTTCGCTCGTCTGATAATGCTTCCCATCTTGATCTATGGACTCATTCTCTTTTTGTTGAATTCCGAAACAGTTGTTCAATAACGGAGGCGGTTATGGTAGATTGGAACCAACCTATCTTTAGTCGCGACTTATGCAAGGTGTGTTGGAAGGATGAGCTGCCCCTGCAAGCTGCCTCGTACAACTGCAGGCGACGGTCTTCGGCGACCCCTCCCCGTCGGATTGGCAAGAGCCCGTACGGTTTTGTGATACAATCCTTCTGTCAGCTTAGCAAGAGCGAACATCCCCACGATATCTGGATGAAGTCATATCTCCAAGGAAATTACCTCTTGTTGAAGGGACATTAAAGTGCGTTCGGAACGGCCCTAACACGGAAGTAACCCCATCGCCCCGCGAAACACCCGTAGACCGACAAGGCAAAGCACAAGCTCAACCGTTGGCACAATGACGCTTCCGAGTCAGCCTTGGGTGTTCCAGTTGGCGCTCACATGACTCCACTGGCCGAACCCAGCAATCCGAGTGAGTGGACGAAGATGCAAGGCGGTTAGATTTTCTCTGTCAAGGCTGGGAGCCTGATTAGGCCTCCGCCGACGTAGCCCCAGCTAAAGGCGGAGGTCGCAGCGCACATTTGAATCTCGCGGCTGTCCCTTTTTCCTCGTTTTTACTTGGTAGAATAGCCTCCTACGTCCCAACTAATAAGTACGTTCTCGAACCTACCCACCAAGCTCTATTCTCTTTAAGTAGAAAAAAAAAACGAAAGCTAGTTTTAATTCTGTGGCCCAGTGTGGGGTGACGTCGGGAAAGATCTACTAGCCGAAACTTGTAGATGGTGGATAATTTTTCTCTGGAGCCTAGAATACATATTGGTGGACACGTCCGACCACTATCCTAAACGCGAATAGAGTTGAAATAACAACCACTGACTTAGTTCGATAGGCAGATTATAAGAATTGCATTATGCGTATACTCAATGTCGGCATCGCTATCACTTATCTAACCGTCTTTGATGTTCCCATACCTTAGGGCCCATCTTCCCTGTGAGAATGTAAATATCCGATTCATTAGGAATGTACTTTGGTGCGTGCTTATATTCCACCCCGTTCAAGAATGCGCGCCAACAATCAAACCATTTAGGTCTGTCAAAAATCGCGTACGCCTCCGTTGTGCGGCCATGAACAATCTCGTGGATGAGCTCGTACCAGTATCCGCCTCGATCACCAGCATATTCCACCATTAAATGAGGGATGAAGGCTGGTCCGACTTCAAGTAGATCCCAATATTCCTCGCCACTGCAGCAGATGCCCCTGCAGAGTGTGTGTCGGTTCTCTTGGCAGTACTCTTTCCATAGCTCGACACGTTCTTCGTAGACCTTGTTAAGTTGGAAGCTGAGCTCAACAATCTGGCTGCTATATCGCTGGAGGGCCTCTTTGGAAGTGAGGTCATCATCTGGGACCCCACGGTACTTGGGGTCGCTGACTAGGGCGTTGACTGAGCTGGGTTAGTGATGCGGTCGCACCGGGAATGTGAGCAAGAGGCTTACACAGAAACGCTCCGTGGGAGTTTTGATCAACGTCTGTTGCGAGCTTAAAGACCACAAAGGCAAGAATTTTTGGACCTTGCTTCCTGAGGGTCTCGAATTCGTCCGCTCGTGTACAGTCACGAGGGCTGCCAATTAATGAGAGTTAGTTTGCACACTAGGAGGAAAACGGTAAATGTACCTCGCCGATGCTGGCAGAGAATGACAAAAAGCTTGGAATGCTGTCCATTTGGACTCAAAATCTGCTACAGCCTCGGGGAAAGTCCTTTGAACGGTGTGATAGACGTTGTCGGCCGCCTCGATGGCTGCTTTCATTGGCGAGGCGATTTGATCGTCTATTTCCGTCATCATCTCGGTCCGCGGTTCTCCTGGGCGTGTTAACGATGGTAAGCCGATTATGCGAATCGAGTCAAATGACGTAGAGATAAAGGCGATAGAATACGGATGAAAGTAAGTTGTTGATGGACGTGTGTAAAGTCCAAGTGTTGTGCAAAGCAGAGCCCCGCCAGTAGCCAACTGGCATACTGGTACATTACCTAGGTACTGTAGCAGATGTGCCACGGGCAACTATTTAGTGAGTAACGGCACTGTATTCCGAATACACCATCCATCACATCTTCTTTACAATTGGTAGCAATTGCCACAGAAAGATTGCGAGGCCACGGCCATCAAAGCATCAAAAAGGCAATTGGATTTCATCATTGGCCATCAGTCAATTTTTTTCCGGCTTCGGCCAACAGCCCGTCAGGACGTCGGGCACCAGTGGAATCAAACCACGCGCTCAGGTTCATGTCGCCCCAAAACACGAGACGCAGGGGCCCGTTATTTGCCTTTAACAACATCAGTTACCACATCACCTACCACATCTACAATCCGCGCGCACATCACGGCGCGCACCATCAAAGACGTCTCTCTAGGGAGCTAAAAGCCGACATCTCTAGCCGTAAGAGGGCGGCCAGTGGCGTGGCCCAATTATGACTTGCTGCTACTCCCATACAAATTTTAGTGGCCGGCGCAGTACTAGCCACACGTAGAACAAGTCCCTGAGTTGTGTAGGACAAACAGAGCAGTGGCTGGCCAAGGGGGGGACAAAAAAAACCGGCCCTCATCGATTCTCGATACTGTCTTATCAATCATAAATACACACGAAAGTAAGTAAAATAATAATTTTAAAATATAAGTTATATATTTAATCATTTTCACACTTATAATACTTTTCTGTTTATTTCTTTAAACAGTCTATCTCTAGAAAAATAACGGTTTAGAAATGAGGTGCTTTCTTAGAAGGGCCGGTTTAATGTGTCCCCCACATGCTGGCGTCACAGCACCTTATTAGTGGTTGATGTGACCCACACACCCTTCTACAGCCACTGGCTTCAACATCAATCACTACTGGCCAGAGCCTGCAACACACAACGAACAACAAGCAACCAACACCAACCAAATTGACCCGTGATACGTACGTATCATCCCTAACGGAACCAGCATACCCCCATGTCACTCAGTCTCCGTGGTTGGAGGCCGACGTCGCTGAGCTGGTCGACTGGAAACCGCACTCGGGCTGGTGTATACAAGTCAGATATATAAGGGCCTGAGAATCGCTTCACTAGGAATTGTGATTCATTGCTTTCTCACTCAAATCTTTCATGATCGCTGCACCAGTCTTGCTTTGTTTTCTACTGCCACTCGTCCGACCGCACGACATCATGCCCATTGACCAATCTAGGCCCGATGCACCCCAACCTCATCCAGATCCAAACCAAAGTCGAGAACCGACCGCTGGCGAGCTCGAGTGCTACCATAATGACCGGGTCTCTTTCTCGGGCATGGAACACAATGTCACCAAGGCAACTGGCAATCATCCCGATGGCCCAATGCTCGAGAAGGGCTATGAAAATGTCCCTCCCGGCCATCCTGGCCATCCTGGAAATCATATAGGTGTTCCTCATGACGATCCGGGGACTCAGTCGCCGTCGTCTTCAAACTCCAAGACAGTAACGGCACTACCCGGAGCCCCAGGCCAGTATGCACAGGTTCCCGAGATGAAGGCCTATGACCCAATCTCCTCACCGAGTCAAGCCGCCCAGACTTCAGCGATCAATTGCTACAAGAGACTTGAAAGTGCTTCCCCAAAGTTGGTTGCAGATTTCAGAAGCTACTTTCACGACTGGCAGGAAACCTGGTCCGGACACTTCTCATCATCGTAAGTATTTGTATCTACCAAGATCAATTTAGATGACGCTAATTTTTCATGTAAAACAGTGCTGAGGATCGGTGCTATACGAGCGAGTTCGACAAGCTCGTGGAGATGGGCAAAGAGATTCTCCCGCTTGTGAATTATATGCTCCTGAACGACGACAATTTTACTGCAGTCTTTCTCTGTGAGCTTCATTGTCATGTCCCGATTTTCATTTGACTAATCAAATCACAGACAATGCTCTTGAAGACGACACGCGTTATCGAGTTGATCCCGATGATGTTTTGAACTTTCTTACTCTGCAGCGTCAACAGAATTTGATTGTTGATCTCAACAGGGATCGGAAATGGTAATGGCTGCTGGTTGACTGGTTGTTGATTGACCGGCTGTTGATTGACAGGCTGCTGGTCAAATGGCTTTTGATTGAGACTGGTTGCCAAGGTATTACCATCTGCAAGGGAACAGCAGCGCATTTGCAACGCATGATCACCGCCTTTGTTGAAACCGCTGCGCTCGGAATCGAGGCCAAGCTGCCTATCAAGCGACCCGCTCAACAACATGGCCATGAGAATATTGCTTGGGTTGGAACTTCTTGGAAGATTCAGTTATTATCCGGGGTTAAGACTGTCGTCGATATTGCTTACATTTGTCCTTAATGTTATTCCTTTTTAGTATCATTCTTCTTCGTCGCTATTTATTTTTTTTTGTTTCAGCAGAAGTCGGCGCACGCCTTTGGTTCTATCAAGTAGACATTCTCTCTTGTCTGTCCTGTCGTGACCGCTAGAAACTTTGCTGGAAAATGCCAAACAAGAAAATGCCGGCATCAGCAGGTCGCACACGGCCTGCGACCGTCTCGTCCGAGGGAGTTGTCTGAGCTGGCGGCGAGGACGGCGGCGCATCCAAGCCGCATAGCTGCGTGACATGTCGCCCTCGAAAAGTCCTGTGCGGAGAAAAGTTACCACATTCCAACTGCCGTCGGGCCTGAATTCCATGCGTTCTCCATTCGAATGAAAACCCCCAGATATGGGCGCGGCGACTGGATCGCCTTTCCCACGCGGGCACCGGTACAGTCGCACCCGTTGATCCCCCGAGGCCATGATTCCGAGACTAAATCTCAGTCTCACGGGAGACAGCCCTATAGTAGAATTTCTTAATATTCTATGAAGAAGTTGCCTAATAGACTATCTACACCTAATATCCTACTATACGCCAAAGTATCAGGTAGTAATTTAAAACTTAGCTTATGGTGTTAGCTGTAACCGTTTGGCTATCATCACTTGAGCTAAAAGTCTAGTCTATTATAGCTAGTCTAGTAACCCCAATGGTCCAAGTATGTTTCAAGTTGTTGTCGTGACTCGGACACCCATCCTTGAATCTGCTCATTTGACTGGCTCTCGTAGAATCGAGGTAGCAACCAGTGGAATTGCATCAGCTCCTGCGAAAACCACCACACATCCGCGACGTCTGCAGATCCCTCAATGGTGGAGGGTCTCATGGCTCCTTGAGCGGCCAAAGCCTTATCCCACGCTTTTCCAATGGAAAATTCAGCATCCACTTCGCCGACAAACCCGTTGAGTATCAGGCCTCGTAGATCGCCCTCAGGCTCTGCCAGGCCCAGGAGAATGCCTTGAAACTCGGGAAATGAGTATAAAAATTCGGTGATTGTGCTACCGATGTGACCAAAGTCAAAGTCTACGACGGCTACGAGACGGTTTGTACGGAGGTCGAAGAGGAGATTGGGTAGAGCTTACTTTGTTAGTTTTTCTGTTGCCAGGTGGAAGGGGGAGGGGCCGGGGGCGCAGAAGAAAACGGAAATGAACGCACTTAAATCTCCGTGGACTAGTGTAGGCTTGTGTTCAGGCACTCTGGATAAAATCTTATCAAGCCCGTCGGCGACAAAGGCATCGATTCTGGCTCGGAGACCAGGTACGTCTCTCCAACCGTTGAGCGCGGCGACACTGTCGCTCTGTTCCAGTTGCCATTCGAGCGTTGCCTTTAAATACTCGGTATAGGTCGAAAAAGGGCCTCCTGTGCGAAAAATAACCTTGGTAGTAGACATTTTTCCGGCATCGTCAAATGTGAGGCCGCCATACCCATCAACAGGTAGCCGATAGCCTTGGAGGGCGCTCGTAACGGCAGCAAGCTGCTGACAGACAGAGGCTACATCTTGCTCACTAAGCCCCTGCAAATAATCGCAAGATATTGGCTCGCCATGTTTGAACTCTTGGAGAATGTAGCTTGGTTCGGCAGCGTCATCCCAACCAAAGACGCGAGGAACCAGCAACGGATCAACCTCTGCGAGAGCCTCTTGAGCAAGAGTTAAGAATGCAACTTCATTGCGGATTCGGATAGAGTCCTCAACGTTATTATTCGCTCGTGCGATGCGCATTACGAGATGGGAGGTGCCGGCAGGAACTGCCACGGTAAAAGGCTTGACGTCGTGGGATACCTTTTCCGACATCAGAGCTTTGGCAAGGTTGATCATGTATACGTGGTTGTTTGTGGCCACGGTGTTTTTCTCAATGGTGAGGTCGTGTTCCGGAATACCGAGTAATCCGCCTATGATTTTGCAAATAAATGCATGATGCGATTCTTGCTGAACTTGATCTGCCATTATTGTGGTCTTTGATTTAGTGAATAATAGTGGTGTCAAGGTCATGGGGCAGGTGGGCAAAATGGAGCGTTGGAGGGAGGATATTAATGCAAACATGGGGGAAATAGGCCCCTCCCCCACTGTCGTAGAATAGCCTCCACCTGCCATTTTAGGCAGCGGAGCGCTAAACTAAAGTGCCATGCTTTCCTTCAAGGGGCCCGCTGCTGTTCGACGCCTCGGGAATATAGGCATGCGACTCGGCCAGCCAGCCAGCCTAGCGCCGTTTCCCGGACAAGATAGCATTGAAAATATTCATCTTTGCTGGTTGAGTATCCTGACCACGTCCCCGGACCCAGACGGCGCCATCGAATTCTCAGCTGTCCCGACTGGTGGACGCAAATTCAGGTCCGCTTGAAGATCCATGTACCTGGAGGGGGTCAAATATTTGTTGCCACCCACTGTAGATCTGGCGCACAGTCAAAACTTATACGCCGATTCTCTTGGCAGCCATGGGCCGACCAAAGGCGGCATTTGTAGCCACCAGACGAGCCAACCTACAGACAGACAACGGAGAGGGCAGTGAGCCATTCAGTACTTCTGTGGAATTGAGGTTCGAGCCTGGGACGTGGTCCGGAGATGAACCTGTCTCTGGGGGTTTTACTGACACGGGTGTCGATGACATGGATTTTCTCGAAATTGATCTTGATGGCCATGTGGTACTTGCGATGGCGGAACTCGACTAGTACATGCAAACATGACCTACTGTGCACGACTTCAAGAAATGGGTGAAATACTCATTATTGGCAAATGTTGATCCAGCTATTCATGTATTGGAACACTATTTCTCGAATTTCCGCACACACCTGAGTTCAGGCACCCGGCCCGGCTGTTTGCTCAGCGGGGTATCGTATTGCGGTAATTGCGCTGCTTTTACTTGGCGAGGTCTCGAAATTGCTTTCGTTTGGAGAAACGGCTGCTGCTCTTTGCATGAGGGTAGTTGTAACAGTGTAAAAGGATAACTCATGAATACTGTCGGACCTTGGCCTTAGTTCGGCCACCGGTAGTAGGCCCATCGACCTGGCATACAGAGGCGTAAGAGGGATACTTGGCACTCCGGGCGTAATGCTGACTGCCAAAGTGGTTGAGACACGATCCGGGTTAGTTACCCAAAGTGCTGCTGATGGGATGGGATTCTAAACCAAAACATTGGTGCCCATCGATGCCTCGGCTGCATCTGTTTCGACTGTGCCCATTTCAGCTGTGGCTGGCAAAGCAGTGATCTGGAGGTCGTCTGTAGACCGCCGAGGCGGGTGAGGTGCGAAGATGGGGGGCGTCTGCTCTCCTTCAAGCAGCGCCATAATGTGCCGAAAAAACTTCTGTATGCGATCTCGAAAATCCATGATTTCCATGATGTCGGGATCTTCTATCAGAGGCCACTTGAAACATGAATGCTCCCAAAGGGCTTCATGTGGCTGAAAAATTGGCTGGCCAGACAGTTTCCGAGAGTCTGCACCATCCTCAATCGGATGACGACTGGCTCCAAATTTGGATCGTAGCCGGACATGTTGCTCAGTGGCTCTTTGTTGCCATTCAACAGAGTGATCAGATTTGTCTTCGTCTCGTTGAACCCAAATCTCAGGCGCAAGATCTGTGAATTGATCGCATGGTACCCGTAACGGCATGAACCTGCTATGGCAAACAGGCGGGGGGTCATGAAAGTGCCTGAGGCGAGACGCATCAAGGTTGAAAAGTGTCTGGTAATAGATATTCCATCTCTCAAGGGAGCTTTCCGTCTCTTCGTTGACGTCTGGCGACACAAATTCGAAAAGGTGTGCCGCAAACTTCAAGCCAAAGTGCGTCAATGGTGGCCAATGATAGCGTAGATCCCCCCTGCTGCTGAACCAGACGACTCGGCAGCACGCGGGACAAAAGGAAATGAAAGGCGTACCTTGAACCAAAGTCGTACCGGCAAGCAAGGTCGTTTGATGAGAAGTCCATTCCGAGGACCAGTCAATGTATGCTTTCAGCTCAGCTGGTATTTCATACGGCCAATAAAGACGCGGCGGTTCAGGCAACTCTCGGACTAAGTGAGGACTACCTCCGAATTTCGCTTGCAGATAGTCATTTGTCTCTTGCAAGAGGTAGAAAAGATTGAAACGAGAACCATCTATACTCTCCACCGTATCCCATATGCGTGCATGCGTGTGTGGGCTTGCAAAAACGTCACAATCATGAGGCCATTTGTCGCTAAATGCCGTCGAGTTTTTGCACCAAGCTATGCGTTTGCATCTGGAGCAGATGCCTAAAAATGGGAGATCGATACTGCGGAGGGAAGGTTGATCTGGCTCGGCCATGGCTCTTTTCAGAGAGAAACTGCGAGTATGACGATGTATAATAACCGAAGAATTGGGACTCGTTGCGCGTGGTGTGAGGGCGAGGTGCTTGAGCTGCTAAAAGTAATGACGTTCACAAGTGCGCAGGTCTGGAGCGATATCAGATGAAATCCAGAGGAGCATAAAGTCTGAACAAGATGAAAAAAAAAGAGAGAAAATTGCTCGTGTTATATACTATTAAGAATGCCTACATGTGCCTCGCCGCCGCGCTTTCCCTAGTAAACAAGTCGCTTTTGCAAGCGAGAAACACCTATGTATCAGACGTGGCATGCTAAATAGTGCACAATGAATGCACAATGGCAATCGGAGGTGACTAATCAAATACCTATTCCAGATTGGACTATTTGGCGCCGTGGTGGAGCAGCCAGAGCTGGACTTGAACCCGGAGCAAACGGAGCATGATTAATCCGGGACGATGGTGCTGCTAAAAGTTGGCCACCCACCAACTTGCGCTTGGTTGCCTCCTTCTCGCAGTCCCTATAATAATACCATACAGGCTTGATAACGATGTCGTGGAGAAATCAGGGCATCACAGGTTCGAACAATATTCCTCTTGGCAGCCGCCGACGATTTGCGGCCGATGGCGATGGCGATGGCGATGTGACTCCCGATCGCGACTTGAAGCGCGGTCGTGACCCTGAACCCCGATCGGCCGAACCCAGCGGCCCTCGACAGCGCAAAAAGCGCAACCGTTGGGGAGATGCATCAGAGAACAAGGCAGCCGGCCTGATTAATCTTCCTACTGCCATCACGTCTGCTATGACCAGTGAACAGCTCGAAGCTTATACTCTACATCTCCGTATCGAAGAAATCAGCCAGAAGCTCCGTATTGACGATGTTGTGCCCGCCGACGGCGACAGGTATGTTTCTCGTTGCCCATCTACACGCAGTCTCATGCTGACAGTCTGACTCTAGATCGCCTTCGCCTCCTCCCCAGTACGATAATCATGGTCGCCGTGTCAACACTCGCGAATACCGCTATCGCAAGCGCCTCGAAGACGAACGACATAAGTTGATCGAAAAGGCCATGAAAACTATTCCTAACTACCATGCACCGCAAGATTATCGTAGACCTACCAAGACGCAGGAAAAGGTCTACGTACCTGTCAACGACTACCCAGAGATTAACTTCAGTATGATTGCTAACCCTTTAACCCTAACCAAGACGATGCTTTGTCTCCCCCAAACTCCCCTGCTTGAAGTTTGATCTGCCCAGTGTGCCGGACCAGGCTTAGCATATGGCATCCTTCGTCGAAATGGGCTTACTCTTGACACTGCTCTCTGCTGCCGCTTGACCACGATACTAACACGTAGCTCTCCTCATCAAGTCGGCTTACTTATTGGCCCTCGTGGCAACACTCTGAAGAAAATGGAGACGGAGTCCGGCGCCAAGATTGCCATTCGCGGCAAAGGATCCGTCAAGGAAGGCAAGGGTCGATCTGACGCGGCTCATTCTAGCAATCAGGAAGAGGACCTTCACTGCCTGGTCATGGCTGACAACGAGGACAAAATCAACAAAGCCAAGCAGCTGATTCACAATGTCATTGAGACAGTCAGTACAACCCCGGTATCCCTCATGCAATACCTTTATTGACCATCACAGGCCGCCTCCACGCCCGAGAACCAGAACGAGCTCAAGCGTAACCAGCTTCGAGAGCTTGCTGCGCTCAACGGCACCCTGCGAGACGACGAAAACCAGGCCTGCCAGAACTGTGGTAAGATTGGCCATCGTAAATACGATTGCCCAGAGAAGCAGAATTACACGGCCAGCATTATATGCCGAGTCTGTGGTAACGCAGGCCACATGGCTCGCGACTGTCCTGATAGACAGCGAGGTGCCAGCTGGCGTAACGACGGCGGACGTGCCGTTGGCAAAGTTGGCGCCGGCGACGGTATTGACCGCGAATACGAAGTAAGTGTTTTACTCCGGTAAGAGACAATCCACAGTCGTGCTGACCAGCTGCAGCAACTTATGCAAGAACTTGGCGGTGGTACTGGTCCCCCTGCTCGTATCGAAGCCGGTCCTGGTGGCGGCGACGAGGCAGATGCCAGGCCTTGGCAGAGAGGAGCGACTGGAGGCCCGGCACCTTGGAGATCCCGCCGCGACGATAGAGATGCGGGTAGCGGACCCTCGGGCGGACCCGCTCCTTGGGCCCGTGATCGCAATCGTGGACAGGATAATTATGGCGATAGCTGGAACGCTGGAGGTCGTGAAGGGGCCGGCGCTGCCCCCCCCTGGCAGCAACAACAGCCCGCTACAGCGTACGGTCAAACAGATGCGGGCTACGGAGCCTATGCCGGCTATGCTGGGTATGCCGCCAATGGCTACGGATCTGCGCCTGGCATGGCTCCTCCTGGAGTGTCGAATGGTGAGGGTGGTCTCGATGCGCCCCCGGGCCTCGCCGGTCTTAGTTCGTTGATTCAGCAGTATTCTGGTGGCGGCGCGCTTCCTCCTCCCCCTCCTCCCAGCGACGGACCGCCTCCTCCTCCTGGTCCGCCGGCCGACCAGCCACCTCCACCTCCTCCCCCCCCTGCGTAAAACAAAGGGGAAGAACAGTCCAGCATAACAGATTCGAGATGGACATTCTGTGGCCCTTGAAAGCAAACTAACGATGGCTCCGCCATTCTTGACCAAGCGAACGGAGGCTTGAAAAACCAAGGCTTTTACAGTAGCCGTTGCCGCGTATTCTATTGCTAACAGCAGGACGAACGACCGCAATTCGACGAAAACTCTGTGTAATGTCAGTCTAAGGAAATTTCTATAGTTGCCATGTGCGTCGCATAATAGATGCATTTGGATGAGATTGATGCTGTTTTCTGAAATACAATCAAGGTGTAGCTTTAATTGATTCGCAAAAGCTTTCCCACGCAAAGTGTCGCGCTGTGGTGACACTGTGGGTTCGCAGGTGGAGTCAATCTTGTACCAGTTCGCACTGGAATGACGGCAGCTCAGCGAGCTCCGCATTTAGCCAAGACTGACGATCGCGTTGTCATGTTTGAGGCTTCCCTCCACCTTCCACAACACTACTGCCGAGGACGAGGTGCGCAATGACTCCGGCCACTCAGTGAGAAATAGTAGGCTGCCAAGTCACCTCTTTCTGTCTCTGCTTGATACCTATCGTCGCCCTCACGTCATCAGACCCTCCAGCGCGCCATGGCCATCTGGAACCCGTTCGCCTTTCGGCCCTGGCCCGTCTTCTTCTGGACCACAGTCACCTACCTAGCCATCCTCATCCCGCTCCTCTACGTCCATGAGACGGTCCCTGCGATACCCAAGCATGAGGCGCTGCCGGCCGGCGTCAACCTCACGGATGCCTGGATCGACCTACAGCGCATCACCGCGCACTACCATCCCTACAACAGCCATGCCAACGACGAGGTTCGCGAGTATCTCGCTAAGCGCGCGAGGCAGATTCTGGACCAGAACAAGGCCCTTTACACCGTTGACCGTTCTGGCGGCCGAGTATGGAGGGCCGACGCGCGCACAGCTGCCGGGAACGCGCCCAGTGTAACACTGTTCGACGACCAAGTCTCCAACGCGACGTTCATCACCGAAAACACCGTCAAGGGCCGCAAGGCTGACACCCAGTCTGGACAATATTTTGAGGGGACCAACCTCTACGCCTACATTCGCGGCAAAGAGGACCCGGAGGGTGAATGGTGGAGCTCCGATGACGCCGCCGAGACATTCCGAGGCAAGGGTGGTGTCCTCGTCAACTGTCACTACGATTCGTGAGTGGTGCAGGTCATCTTCGCCTCGGATAAAGCTAACTAGGACCAGTGTTGCCACCGCCTATGGCGCTACTGACGATGGCATGGCTTGCATCACCTTGCTGCAGCTGCTGAGCCACTATACCACTGAGGGAAACCAGCCAAAGCACGGCATCGTTCTCCTGTTCAACAATGCCGAAGAAGATGGTCTACTCGGAGCCATTGCTTTTGGATACAGCCCATTGCGCCAATTCTGCCATACATTTGTCAACCTCGAGGGCGCCGGAGCTGGTGGCCGTGCCATGCTATTTCGCACCACGGACTTGGAAATTGCCAAGGCATATGGCTCTACTCGACATCCTTTCGGCTCCATCATTGCCGCAGACGCCTTTGAGTCTGGCGTCATCAAGAGTGGTACCGACTATCAGATTTTCGCTGACCACTATGGCCAGCGCGGCATGGACATTGCGTTTTATTCACCGCGCTCACGATATCACACAGAGGACGATGACACCCGACATGCTTCGGTGAGCAGCATATGGCACATGCTCTCCGCCGCCCTTTCCTCTACAAAGTCGCTCTCTGAAACCACTGGTACTCTGTTCCATGGCGATCGCGCTGACAACAGAAACGACTTGGTCCAGAATGGCAAGCCGACGCGTGGTGTGTGGTTCGACTTCTTCGGCAGCGCCTGGGCCGCTTTTGCGCTTAGGGGCCTCTTTGCCTGGACCCTGACGCTCCTTATTGCCTCGCCACTCATTCTATTCATTGTTACTGTCCTTTTGATCAAGCAAGACAAGTACTACTTCTTTGCGAGCAGCACCCAGGCAGACTCTGGCTTGACCGACAGTCTTCTCGCTCTGAATGGCTGGCGCGGGTTGTTCCGTTTTCCTTTCGCTCTCATATTCGCCTCTGCCCTTACCTTTGGTTCCATTAGACTCGTGGGTAAAGTCAATCCGCTCATCATTTACAGCAGCAATTACGCAGTGTAAGTCTACTACATCTCACCTCACAACTCAAGCTAACAAAAATCAGCTGGGCCATGTCCATCTCAATATTCTACTCTTCGTTTTGGCTCATCATGCGGGGCTCCAGCTACGTTCGCCCAAGCGCCCTTCACCGCGGCTATTCTTTAATTTGGCTTTTTGTGTTAACCTGGGCTTTTCAAATCTTTGTCGCGGTCTGCGAAGACCGCTTTCACGTTGGAGCCTTTTATTTTGCCGCCTTCTTCCACACTGGCGTCTTCTTGGCTGTTCTCATCTCGCTCCTGGAGTTGTTTGCACTCCCGTCCAAGTCCGCCTTTGCCAGACAGGTGCAAGATGCGGATCCCCCCAGCAACCACATCGCAAGCATCGATCAGAATAACGACGGCGCCCACGACGACAACGAGGAGGAGGAAGAGCCGACAGAAGAAACCCCTCTCATAGCTGATGAGGAGGGCCACAGTGGAGCCGACAACGAGGACCAAACCACTTTTGCTACAACTTATAGAAGAAGACCTGCTCCTGCTGATGATGGCCTGAAAAAGGCGACGGCTCCAACTCGTGAGCCGTACGCTAACGAGCAATCCTGGTCCGGTCGCCTTCCAAGCTGGACTTGGTTCCTTCAGTTGCTCGTCCTTGCTCCCATTCATCTTAGCATCACCGCGAACACGGCTCTTGTGCAGACCGCTGCCATGGCTCAGACGAGCGTTGATGGTAGTGACAAGCTTCTACCTCTGCTGGCTGTCGGACTTTTGACTATTGTTCTGTTACTTCCCTTGACACCTTTCATACACCGTGTCAATCACCAACTGCCAACTTTCTTGTTCCTGGCATTCATCGGCACGCTCGCCTACAACTTGTTGGCTTTCCCATTCTCCTCCGACTACCGATTCAAATATTTCTTTCAACAGACAATCGACGTGGACAAGGATACGAACCAAGTCTCCATCTACGGCATTCCGGAATACACCCGCGAGATTATCCAAGCGCTTCCCGGAGCAGCTGGGCAGAGCATAGAATGCAAGGCAAGCAAATCTCGCGTCGGCCTTTGTGTCTATGACGGAAGCGCGCAGCCTCCTAACGTGGCACCGGGGTTTGAAACCAGAGACCTTGTGACGCTTCGTGCTTCTAAATCTTCCGACGGCAAGTCTGTCAATCTGCAGCTAGACGCCATCGATACCAGGACGTGCACCATCAGCTTCTCGTCACCCGTGTCCGGATTTGCCGTGGAAAATGCTGCGCCGATTGAGAAACGACCTTCGGATGGAATCAACAGCGTGCGACTGTGGCGACGCAGATGGGAAGGCCCATGGAATGTAACTTTACAGCTCGGTAGCAGCCGTAGCCTTGCAGATTCTGCTGTGGAGGAGGAAGAGGAGGATATCTTTGCCAGTGAGGAGCTCAAGATCAGGGGGGATGCTTTTGAAGTGACAGCAAGCTGCAGTTGGAGCGACGCCAACGTGGCCTCCACCATCCCTGCTTTTACAGAATTCAAGCGGTACGCGCCACGGTGGGCTGTGCTATCTAAAGCGAGTGTCGGCCTGGTCGAGGTGAAGAAGACGATCAAGGTTTGATGTGTAGTAGAAAGGTCCCCTGTACGATCTCCCGTCGTTGGCGTCGTGTACGAACCCTAATGATCCTTTTCATGTACTGCTATTAGCCGTGTCGGGTCGGTGTTTCTATAGATGGTATTTCAGTATGTCGACTATCCTATTACGGTTTCTTTTACTTTTCACGCTATCAAAAGTAAGAAGCAGGTACCAATAGCACTTTTTCCAAGACTAGTCACCAATATGGCGAAAATTGTAGTTGACAATTCAAGAGGAGACTATCTTGAACACTCCAACGACAGGCTGTTTCGTCTGACCACTCTGTACCGCAACTTCCTGAGACTATTGTTTCTAGATCATCTCGTACCTTCCAACCCGCCAATTGACGTTTTCGGCTTTGTGTCGACGCTATTCGGGATGGCAAAGATTACCACCGAGGGTACACTGTGACAAGCTGGCGCCATAATAGTCTGCAAGGCTCCGAACGCAGTCGTTATACTGTCTGTGGCAGGCCTTGAGAGATTCGCCGGTTTCGTTTCGGCACTAAAACGAGCAAACTAGCATAAGCTTTTTCGTGGCCAAGGATATATGTCAAGTGCTTGCGTTGTTGATTTGACTTACGGTTGTGCAGCTACCGCAGTTATCTTTGACATCCTCTGCGCAACCTTTATCGTCAAAGGCGGCAGCAGCCATCCCGGACAGCATGGCTGCAACGAAAATTGCCGAGAGCTTCATGTTTGCGAAAAAGAATAATGGAAAAGAGGTAGAAACCGGATTAGGAATAATGGAAAGAGGTAGAGACCGGATTAGGGTACAAAAAGGTAGAGACTAGATGGGTTGTTGGAAGAGGTAGAGACAGGATATGGGCAAGTCGGAGAGGGCTTTATACTAGACACATGAAGCAGCGAGACGCTATCAGGGACCGGTTGGGTGCAACCGAATCTAGCGGAGAAGGTTTTTCAACAAAGAACACGGAAGAAATGTTGGGAAACCAATTGCCAAATATTGGATCATCGATGGGACTTGCGTGAAAGATGGTGTTTATCCTGCGATGCTGACAATACAATACATTAAAAGTGGCTTCCATACGGGGCATGACAGTATGGACCTGTCAGACTGCACAATGACATTGTGAGGGGGCCTTGGCTGCCAATATTATATCGTATATACTATTACCGCCGTTGCAGTCTGTGCTCGGGTTTGCGAAAGGGAATATTGGCATCGGCCAACCACTCGAGAGCCCGTTTCTAAAAATGAATCCTGTCAAAGCGTCAAAAAAAAAAGAACCAATGCGATTTTCGAGGTTGAGCGTTTCCGTAATTTGTCTTGACAGAGTCTTCTCTCCCCACCCTCTCCCCACTCAATAAGCCTGGTTGTCGTGTGAACAAAAGGCTATCTATAATTCTATCTGTGTGCCAATGGCAGAAAAGATTAGATGTTCATCCTCTTTGCTTCCCGAGAGAGACATGGGTCGCAGTCCCAGGTTCTGGTCCGAGCAGAGTTGCGCGCTTCCATGTCAAGTCCGTGGCGCCGCCAATTCCACAAAGTCTGCCTACCGCAGCGTTCAGATCCGTCCATCTTGCAGGTGAAAGAAATATTGCAGCAGGAACACGTCTGATTTGCACGTATTCGATATATAGTTAGTCTGTGACCTTTTGGAACACCACGTCCGCACTAAGATCAGGCCAGTCACATTGGCATTTACCATGGTTTATTTTCCAGACCGCGGAGAATACTGACCACTCTTTACTTTGTGTTTAAAGCATCTCAAGCTTACATTTTACATGCTGCTTGACGTAGACCGACAGGCTGGAGCCGTGGGCTATAGGCAGCTAATGTGGTATACCCCACCAACCTTGTCGTGTTTGCAGATAAATGGGGTGAAAATACAAGAGCTTCCAATTCTCAACGCATTTGCGTCGGAAATCAATCAGCGCAAGATCCGTCACTTACCAATTGTTGTTACTATGGGTTTGAATTCCAGACTTTTTCTGGCGGACAAGCAGATGCGTCTGTGAGTACAGAAAAGCATCTAGGGTAGGTGAACTTGGCAAACTGCCATCTTGGTGCCATCAAAGCAAGCCCTAAAGCAGAAATTGAAAATTTTCAGCTTGGATGTTTACATGGCAGAATCCGTTACTCCATATAATTGTGTGCATGCACTTCTTGACGATGCCTTGAAATAACCAATTGCAAGATATCCTGTGTCTGACTCATTCTAAATGAATAGATTGCCCTCCGGATGTATGCTTACGCGTGAGTTGACTGTTGAGAATATCACATTCAAACCCTCAGTTTCCCCCGCCCCTTTCGCCTCATGAAAGCACAACCAATATACAAAAAATTGATCCAATCGCATCTTTCTGTGCACCTTGGATCGAAACTGCATATATAGTCATCGTCAAGTCAGCAGTAGCTGTTGGGAGAGTAGATGGAAAAGCGCTAGGTTCTGTCACTCTAGATTAGTACCCGGGTCAGGCGTTGTTGATTAATAAAAGGACTCACGAGGCTGGCGTTGGTGTTGCTTGTGACTTACAGCCGCCAAATGGGTTGCAGAATAGGCGCTTTTCTAGGGTTGTTCGCTGCTCTTGGCCCATTTGATGTGCGAATCCCGTCGCTGCGACAAGGTGAATGATGATGTACGGACTTTTCATTGTTGCAACAAGTTGAGAAATGACTGGGGAAGATATCAACTCGACATTATTTTACTTGCAGGCCAGATTACATATGCGTTTTCACAGTCGTTGATCCACTTATTCAGTTTGACCAACCGACAAGCTCTTTCGACCCTTCTCTACCATTGAGAATCTCGTTCTGTCTAGTGTTACGTGTCGCCTCCTACACCTACTCTAACCATTGATGTGATTTCTGTGCTAGGCCTTTCGAGCTATCATAGGCCGATCAGACCGAATACAAGGAATGCGGCGGCCGTTGTCACCCCGCCCATCGGTCTATGTCACTCGTCCCTCGCTGCTTCGTGATGGTCTTTCTATAGCCCAGGTATCCGTAATGTTTGCATATAGCAAGTATCTTGCCCGAGATTATTCAACACTCCCCTATGCTCCGCTCGGGTCTCGCAATGCCCGCCCCAAGCCGTTATTTCTGTAGTATGCTGGGGGGGGCATGCAGTTCATATGGGTGTCCGTCGGCAATAACTAAGACTTTTATTTGTATTGTTAAGCTTACGGGTTATACTATCTCCGGGATTACGCATTTTACTTTAGTAATATCCCCTCATCGGTCCACCCCAACGGTGCTCGGTTATCGCCGCTTCGTGCCGAGACCCTGAGTTACGTGCGGACCGAAACGGCGGCCGTCGGCTGGCTGCCGCACCCACCGCGCCGCAGACCAGTCCTCTGCGTACATTCGATCCTATTATTAGCCCTATAACCCACTGTAGTGAGATGATTTTGAATACCGTTGAAGGAATGCGCAATTGTTCTCCGCGGACTTTCGACTCGGGCTTGCGTTTTTTCGGATCCAAGACTCTCGCCATGAACCAATAATGGCGGCCTTTTTTTTTTCTAAAAAAAAAAAAGTAGCTTTGGGATGCCCAGATACATACATTCCAGGTAGTCTCAGAGAATGACTCTTGTCATATCATGTCGCGGTCAAGGATCTGTACTTCTGTTCAGCAACCAGTCTGAGATGTTGAAGATTCTCCCCATGAAGTGGTATCCTTTTCCAGCGGGCGAGCTTACTGCTAGGCCGCTTCAATAATGGTTGTCCTTTCATGTTGCTTGAGCTCCAATTGCATACCTGGACGGCTGTTGGGTCTGGAAAGCACGTCTAGGACTTGTTACTAATTGGAGTATCAAGCACAAGGCCAAGTCATAACCGTGGTATGCATGATTTAATATGCTATGATATACCATCTCGTAGGCTTAAATTTGCAGCGCCGCCCCTGTGTCGAGATAGCCGCGCTTATAAATCGCCAGATAGCGTGGGCCTCTAGTTTGTCTCTAGTTACCTTAGGTAATTAGAGACGATATCCACTAATTGAACTCTGGTGTTTTAGGGTAGTTTTGAACCGTCATGTATGGATTACGAGTATAAGCTTCTTAGACCGACTATGAACTCACCATTTTGGCAGGGAATCTAGAAAATATTTGAAAATATGAGCTATTCATATTGAAATAATGTAATTCTTCACTCATCTATTCAATGTGTTGATATTGCATTTCGCAGGGCGACGGTCTTGGTCATCACCTCCCACCCCATTGGTCCATCTTTCCCCGTACCTAATCAGGCCCGCCAAGCTTCAGGGTCTCTTCACGCGGGAACTCGCCACATCATCACACACGCATTTCTCGCAATGCGCTCTTCGCGCGTCTCTCTCGACACGGCGCGTCTCTTTGACCCGACCGTTATTGCCGCCAGCACAACGACCCGTCGGACCACGCGCTCGCTGTCCCGATTCGCCTACGCCCCCGTCAGCGGCAACGCCCGCGCCGCGCCCGACATTGAAGATGCCGTGCCGCCGCCGCCCGCCGCCAAGCGCCGGCGCAAGCTCTCGAGCGAGTCACCCGTCAAGTTGATCAAAGAGGAGCTGCTGGAGGACACGGAGCCGATTCGCGCGTCGGCTCTGACGACAACAACGCCAAAGAGGAAAAAACAGCAGCCGCGCAAACCGGCGCGCAAGGCGGTCGATCCAGAAACGGGCGAGACGACGGTGGCGCCGCCGTCTGACTGGGAAGAGGTGTATGGGATAGTGCGCAAGATGAGGGCGCCGGGAGGGGCGGCGTACGGCGCGGCGGTCGACACGATGGGCTGCGAGAGGCTCGCGGACCGGGGGTGCTCGGAAAAGGACCAGCGGTTTCACACCCTGATTGCGCTGATGCTGTCGAGCCAGACAAAGGACACGGTCAATGCGGTGGTGATGAAGCGGCTACAGACGGAGCTGCCGCCGTATAAACCTGGCGCGCCGGCTGGGCTGAATCTCGATAACATCTTGGCCGTCGACCCCGACACACTGAATAAGATGATTTGGGCCGTCGGCTTCCACAACAACAAGACCAAGTAAGAGGGCGCACTCGATTCTCTGTTTATACAGCAACTAACAAAGATGGCCAGGTACATTAAAAAGGCGGCCGAGATTCTACGCGACGAGTGGAACGGCGACATCCCCGACACGATCGAGGGCCTGACGGCGCTGCCGGGCGTGGGCCCCAAGATGGGCTACCTGTGCCTGTCGGCGGCATGGGGCCGGACCGAGGGCATCGGCGTCGACGTGCACGTGCACCGCATCACCAACATGTGGGGGTGGCACAAGACCAAGAACCCCGAGGAGACGCGGCTCGCGCTGCAGGCGTGGCTGCCGCGGGACCGCTGGCGCGAGATCAACGGGCTGCTGGTCGGGCTGGGCCAGGCCGTGTGCGTGCCGGTCGGGCAGCGCTGCGGCTCCTGCGACGTCGGCCTCGGGGGCCTCTGCAGGGCGGCGGACAGGAAAAAGGTGGCGCTGGGGAGGGCGGAAAGGGAGGTGGTGAAGCGGCAGGAGGAGGATCGGAGGGAGCTCGAGGATATCAAACCGGCCAAGGAGGAGGAGCTGTGACGAAGCAGCAGTGTAGCATTGTAGCATTGTAGCATAGTACATGATTGTATAATACGCATTTATAATTCTGCCGTGGTCAAGAATCGCTTATTCATTTTGTACATGACGTGTCGCACAAAGCAGTCTCTATCAATGGTATTGTACATTGCCGCGGCGCCATCGCTCGCAGGTATTTTCGCAACCTCCCCGCCTGATCCAAAATCCAATACATTCTCCCTCATCCACGCATTTTTTTTATACATCTTGCATCGAAATTCCCCCTCTTCTGTCCCTTTTATTTCCTCTCACGCAACGACATCAATGCCAATCGACTTTGCCTGAAAAATAATCGACCGGCAGAGACCCTCGAGCGACAGGCCCGACAGCCGCAGCTCCGACTGCTTAATCTTGGCAATCTCGTAGACGTGCTTGAGGCTGACTGCGCCAATCGTTTCGGACCCCGGCCGCTGCGCGCCGCGGCGCTGGCCCTTTTTGTTCTTCGGCGCCCCGTCGACGCAGTTGAGCAGCAGCCACGACGTCTGCGGCGTGCGAATGTCAAAGACAAAGGAGCGGTCGGCGCGGACGGTGACGCGGCAGGGCATGGGCGTGCCGACGACGTAGTTTGCTGTGCGGGCGTTGAATTCCTAGAAAGAAGGGTATTGGTTTAGATTCGAGAGCCTCTTCAGCGACGGAATGGCGAAGCGATGGCGAGAGGAGGAGGAGGGGGAGGAGGAGGAGGAGGAGGGCAAATCGCACCTTGCAGAAATCCATCGACTTGACACCTTTGCTACCCAGCGCCGGACCGACGGGCGGACTGGGCGAGGCTTGGCCCGCGCCGACGATGAGTTTGACGATTTGGTCGGCTGCGGCCTTGGATCTTGACATTTTGGAATGAGGCGTTGTGGTGTGGAATTGGGAGCTGGCGAGAGGCTTGAATTGAAGCTCCTGCGATGGTGGTTTTTTGGCGCCGAAATATTTGGCTGTGGAGGAGCTGGCTCCTGATTGGTTCGTGCTTGGCGTGGTACGTACCGTGCTGCCTCTAGGTATGCCTCTCCACGCAGTTGCGCATCCTCCTGTAAGCCGCAAGTGATGCGGAACATTGATTAATGAGTTGCAAGCCGTCATCTTTCATAGACGAGTGGTCCTTGTTGATAGGACTGACAATATTGCGGCGCGTTGTTGAGCTATTCTGACTTACCCGCTCCATGTTCGGGCGCTGTCACCGAAGCACAGGTTACCACCAGTGGAACAGCCCTATGGCAGTCTTGTCAACGTACTAGTCTTGCTCTGATTGTCCAGTTCCATCGTAGCATTCATTTTATCAGTCAGAATACGAGCTCAGGCTCGAGACGTGGCAAATTTCGTGACCTGAAATGATGCCCGAGACCTAGCCAGTATTGATTGTTTGAAAAGACGCCATCACAAAAGTCGCCAGCTTTGACCTCCTAAAAAGAGAAAATAGTACGAGAGCATGGCTTTTATTGGTTACGGGGCTAACGGGGGGATGCGAGCCGTAAACCGTTTTCGGTAGGCGCTGGATGGGCCGAACACCCGAAATGGGGTCGACGCTTGTGCCAAGTGTAAATGTAGATGGCCACATGTTTGATTGATTACGAGGTCGATTTCCCTACTGTGAGGCGCAGCGATGACTCTTTCAGGGCGCATATCCAAATTGCCGACGCAGCCAATCCTGTGATAGGAGCGCAAGGCGTAGAATACTATTTAAGAGGTGACTTCCTGCGTGTGAAGGAGTGGTGAACAACTGCCTCATCTTAGCTACACTTGTACCCACCACCACTTACACCACTTACACCAACGTACAACACCAATCACCATCAAATCGCTACATACACCACCCTTTTCAACATGGACTCTCTCAGCAGCGGCCCCGTCGCCGACGTCCTCGCCAACCTCTACATCGAGGCCGAGCGCGCCGACGCCCCCATGCGCGAGTCTGAGAAATCTTCCGCCGCGCCCTCGGGCGACTGGACCACCGCCTTCATCGCCTCGGAAAAGGCCGACCTCCGCGGCACCTACGCCTCGCTCGCGACCAACTTTCTCTGCGTGTCGCCCAAGTTTGGGCGCCACCTGTACATGACTGCGCGCGCCAGCCGCGCCCGCCTCATTGTCGAGTTTGGCACTTCCATGGGCGTCTCGACCATTTACGCGGCCGCGGCGCTGCGTGACAACGGTAGCGGCGGTGCTCGGATCATTAGCACGGAGCTGGAGCCGAGCAAGGCGGAGCGCGCGCGCAAAAATGTGGCGGCGGCGGGGCTGCAGGACCTGGTAGAGTTTCGCGTTGGCGATGCGAGGGAGACGTTGGCCGGCGGGGTGGGAGGCGGCGACAAGATTGATCTGGTGCTGCTGGACGGCGCGTGGTCGCTGTATCTGCCGGTGCTGAGGCTGCTGGAGCCGCATCTGAGGCCCGGGGCGGTGATTTTGGCGGACAATGCGGCGGATACGGTGGGAGGGTATATCGAGTACGTGCGGGATCCGAGTAATGGCTATCTTTCCCTGCCGCTCGATTTCGGGGAGAAGCAGGGCAACGAGTATTCGGTCAGGACTAAATGATGAATGAATTTTTGTTTGGCGAACAAGAGTTTATTCTCTCTTGCACAATAGATGACTGATTTCTTTGGTAAACAATGTTTTCTTATTTTACAGACAGTAGATGAACTTGCTTGGCTAATCTACAAACAAAAGGGTAGATCTAAAAAAAGAAAAAAAAAAAACCAGGCTCACAGTAAATGAACAAATAAAGCATCGAAATTATTGCAACGTAATATTGGGTATATAGTTTCAAACATGATCAAATAACCTTTGTTGGCCCCCAGCCAACCTTGGACACGCGGCTCGCTACCAAGCAAATACTCGACGCGAAAAGAAGCGCGCCGCACCACGAAATGAGCCCGATCCAGTTCTTATCGTGGCCAACAATGGCTCCAGCAATCGGATTGCTGACGAGCACACCAAAGCCCACCGTGCCGAGGGTCATGCCTATACGAATGCCAATCTTGCTCTTGTCGTCGGACAGGCTTACAATGCCCGCGGCGGGTAGACCCATAAAGGCCCCCGAAAAGAAGCCATAGATGATGCAAAACACGACGAGGCCGGCGGTGGAGTGGATCGCGTACAGGCAAAATGTCAGGATGGCGGAGAAGAAAGCAACGGTAGTCTGGACGTTGATGGAGCCAATCTTGTCCGCATAGTAGCCGGGGATGATGCGTCCTGGCAGCGAGCTCACGTTGAGAATGACGAGCAGGTAGTTGGCTAGGCTGTGAGACACGTTGGTGCGGTCGAGGGCAAAGAGCTCAATATAGTTGAAGATGATGTAGAGCCCCATGAAGCCGAATGTGAGGCCGGCGTTGAGGAGCAGGTAGGGGACGTCGCGAAAGGCGGCGGCGTCGATGAGCTTGCGGTCGCGGCGTGGCGGCTGCTTGGAGCGCATGAGCAGCGCGGGGATGACGGAGGTAACGAGGAGAATGAAGCCCAGGATGCGACAGGTCCATCCGAAGCCGACCTTGGGAACGAGGCGAGCAAAGGCAATGGGAAATATGACGCCGCCTACATACAAATCACGTGGTTAATATTTCTCTCTTCACACAACACCTAGAGCATGGCAAAGAGCTCGTTATTCGCAGGGCCAGTGGAAAAAACGTACCGATTGCGCTGCCGGAAGACGACGCGCCCATGGCTAGGGCCGTCCGGGGGCCAAAGTACTGGGACACGACCGCGGGCGCGACCAGGTACAAGAGGCCAAAGCCCAAGCCCATCATGACGGCCTGCGTGACGAGGACCTGCCAGTAGAGCGAGGTTGCGCTGACGAGCAGCATGCCGGCGACGACGAGGACGCCGCCGCCCCAGAGCAGCCACGGGGTGAAGCCGGCGTCAAACAGGGCGCCCGCGGCCACGGACACGACAAAGAGGAGAAAGGCCTGCGTGGAGCCGATCCAGGCGATTTCGGAGGAGGAGTGGCTGCGGAGCAGCTCGAGCTGGTAGTACGTCTGAAAGGCGCCGTAGGAGTTCATCATGCCCCTGTTACCGACGGTGTTGGGGTTAGTTATTGCAGATTCGGAAAAACGGATCAGTCAAGAAGACGGCGAGGTGAGATTTCGCATTTACCATGTATTGAGATTGAGACAAAAGGCACCGAGGACTTGCATCCAAGCCCGCCAGTCCTCCTTGATCTGCGGTGGCGGCGATGACGCCTCTGGCGCTGGTTCTTGGTTGGCAGCAGCATCGTCGCGCGCCAACGAGGTGGTGCTGTGGTCGGTGGTGGTGTTGGTGAGGGGCGCTTCGCCGTGCAGCCCCATTGCAGGCTTCTCCGAGGTCATCTCAGTGATGAGCGCGCCTTGAACAACTTCACAAGAAGAGGTTGAGTGCAAATTCTTTGGTCGACATGCGGAGAAAAAAAAAGGGATGTCTACAAAGATGGTGCAAGAAACGGGCTGGGGAAAAAGAGAGGAAATAAGAGAAGCGCTTTTGGAGATTTGGCGGCCGTTTCGGGTTACAAAGTGGCTTGGAGTGGAGGCGAAACAGTGGACAGCGGGCGCTGGAACTCGGCCGGACGAGGCGAGACCCGCTGCCCGTTGTGTGCCCTACGAGGCTACAACGATGAATTAAAAGATGTGTTATGAGCATGCGATTTGCTTTGCGGGTGGTTTTAGTCGGTCAGAAGGGATACAAGACTTGTCCATTTATGACTGTTGTTGGAGTAGAGGCTTGATAAGCGGTCAAAGATTAATCACGGTCGGGTGCACTCGCTGCTCGCTGCTCTTAGGTACTGTTTTGCATTCATCTTTATTAATCTGCAGGCAACGGGACTTTTGGTCCCTGCGACATGGGCTATCGTGCCCCACCCGCTTCCGCGTCCATTTGTGGATACTGCGATTAGGGCGGGGGTGAGTACGGATACATATTTGTCTGTGGAAAATGGGCAAAAGCCCAGCTCATCTTCGCCAGGGTCTCATTGGAAATGGGATAGAGAGAATAAGTGCATGGCGAGTTTATTAATATCGTCGTGTCAGCAGGATTTGAACTCGGTATCGCATTATCGTCTAGCGTTTCTTTAATTCACGCCATCAGCCCAACGTAGTATCAAAACACCGACCCTTGACCCATAATAGATCGGCGACCGTCAGCAGCGCCCGCAGCGTTAGTTAGGTTGCCGTCCTTGCCCCCCCCCCCCCCCCCCCCTCGCCAAAGAACTGATGGTCCAACCACTGGGGCAAACCAGCCACCAAAAAGCGGCGAACAAGTTCGACTTTTTCAGGGTTCTTGCGGGCCGAATTAAAAGGCAACAGTACCCAGTTTGGGGTACGTCAGATAATGCCACCCTCCATCATCAATGTAGTGCGTGTGCGGGCCACACCGTTTACCGACTACCCAGTTCAACCAGTTGCCAGTTGACCGTTGCCAGCCTGCCTGCACCAGTGCCGACCTTGGGGTGACACAAGCATGCAGTACCTGCGGAGTATACTCCGTACTCCGTAACACATTCAGAAAGAAGGAAAAATTGCCGTGGGTGAGATTGTGAAACTCGAGTGAAATTACGCGACACCTCCATCCGGCCTCATGTCTCGCCTGTTGCCTCTTTGCTCTCCGCCGCCGCCGCCGCCGTCGTCGTCGTCGGCCAGAGTACCCGCCCGTCCGGACACGACTTGAACCGCTCAATCATCGGCCCCGGCACCTCATCTTCGTGACGGAAGCACGCCGTGCGCTCCTCGGCCCACCGCTCCAGCCTGCGCCAGTCGCGGCACATGCGCACCTGCCCGCTGCCCGTCCCTGGAGGGTCCTGGAAGCCCGCGTAGCGAGGCGTGTCGTCGGCGTTGCAGATGACGCCCTGCCGCAGCTGGTCCAGACAGTGCAGCGCGTGGCTCAGCGCAATGTGCTGCGGCTGCTTGAGCTCCGTGTACATGACGTATCGAAACAGCGTGCGCTGGTGAGGGGCGGGGGGGAGGAGAGTATTAGCTAGTGTGAATCGTGTAGTTGAGATGATGTCGTGACATACCAGGCAATGGAGGTCGTGAAAGCCTTGGAGAAGATATACGCCCTTTTCCTCATCCCATGGAAAGCGTAGCGCATGCGGGAGCTTTGTCTGCTGGACGTAGGCCTCTGGCAAGGCGACAACGCCTGGGTCGCCGCTGAGCTCCTCCCACAGAGCTCTCACTTCTGTGAGGTTGTCGCCAGTATATTCGGACCCGTGTTGAATCGCTACCGGCACGTCTCGTTTTAATCCGGCTGCCAACAGAATTAATACTCGATCAATGTGTGGCAAAGGCTGTACTGACCATGCGTGGACGGGCAATCACCCTCGGCGAGGGATGACTTGGCAATCTGCTGATTGGGTTGAATCCTGAGGATAAAAATCATGTTGACAAAAAGAGACATTGCCAGCAGAATAATTGACACAATCAAGCTGCAAATGTATAGCGGATTTCGGGAAGCCTTGTGTTGCTTTGCCGGAGACAGCGTCTCTTTGCTCTCGTCGCTCCATCGGTCGGACGAGTCTCGATGCAGAGGCTCGTACTCTTTAGACTGTGAGCGCATGATCGGGACCAAATACCTCTTTATGCGCCTGAATTTTATTGGTTAAAGAAGATTTTGACTTGCGCGACGTGTGTGACGAAAAGGTTGCACCAGATCTTCGTTTGTCGATGTGGTTGGCGGTTGGTGGAGGATGCAAGTTGGGCACTGAGCAGCAACCTGCAAGATAAATCGAGCTGCACTCTATGCTTGCCCACGCCCTATTATTACGAGGCAAAATACATATCTCCATTACTACATGTATCATGTATTTTTTGAAAGAGAAATTTAAAAATTATTGTTGAAGCGAGCACTTTGATAGGGCAATTGTTCATCAGTCACCAGATCATGTTTCGCATGTAGATGAATAGAGCGCATTATACCATTTACTGAGTGCTTATTTACGTGCCACGGGTTTCAGACTAGAGTAAAAGTAAAAAGAATATCATCATCTCCCAGTACAATTTTGGAACCCTCTTCGTGCCATATTTACTGCGCATCAACCCAAGACTGGTCTACTTGCGCAGGGTACACGACCGCCTCATCCGAGTCTTGCGCTGCACACACACACGAGTCAGCGAAATAAAGTCGAATTTCAACGCATCATTCCTTTCACTTACAGCGCTTCTGAGCGTCGACCCAAGACTGATCGACTTGGGCGGGGTAGACGACGGCTTCGTCAGAGTCGGCAGCTAGAAGCAAGTTAGTCCTCATGGACTCCGTTCTCTCAACTCTTTCTTTCCTTGACTCACAGGATCTCTTTTGAGCATCTACCCAAGACTGGTCAACTTGAGCAGGATATACGACAGCCTCGTCAGAGTCCACAGCTACCAGCCGTGCATTGTCAGCGAACCATGACTTTAGAAAGGTCATGCATGAAGAGCAACTGTCAATGTCGCTTACCTCTGGCGGGGATGACTGCGGCTACGGCGGTGCCGACCATGAATGCGACGACAAAAGAGGCCTTCATATTGAATTAAAATGTCGAGATATTTTTCAACAAAGAATCGAGTTTCAGGGTGTATGCAAAGGTCAAGTGTGGCTGATTTACAGAACCAACTTTCTTATAGTCCAGTGGCCCATTCCTACCCCGTTGCCGTCATGCATCCACACACGGCCGACTCTTCAACATGTTCCGCACATTTTCGGCACTTTTTTTTCTTCAATCATCTATCGCAATGGGCATTGCTTACTTTCCCTTTCTCTCGCAATCGGCTTTCCGGCAAAATGAACAGTCCAGTACTGCCTTGAAACAACGGCTACCATGACGCACCCTCGGCCGTCGTTTCCACGGGCAGACGAATCAACCAGGCTCACCGAAGCCCTACTACTAGCCAATGCGGCGACTTGAACCCTCCTCGTGAAAAAGCTTCCGGCAAAACTAAGCCGTACTAGGGTCCATTGTGCTTACGTGCTACTTTTCAATGCATTACTTTTTGGGATGTTGCGGTGTGGCCAGAGACAAAGTGGTGTGCTTGGGGACAAAGTCGGCAGCGTGGTGCCGACAACACGCCCCATCGCTCAACTAGTTGGCGCCCCCAAATCTCTTGCCCTCCCTTGACCTAGGTCAAAACCACGGCGGGATCCCAATGAAATTTCTCTTTTTAGTTCGTTGTAGCGCTAGTGGCGGCATAGTCTGTAAGCCATGCCAGGGTTGTCGATGCCGAAATCGCTAATCATTGGACGAGCTAAATGAAGTCTTACATGGTGTATACATGATAGCAGCAGGTTTTAATGCATAATAAAGATGATGCCGAGACATGGTCTTAATAATTCTGCATGTAAAAGACATGTCATCTGTATCGCGCGCCTCTCACCTCCATCTGCGGTGATGGTGAGGTGTTTCTTGGAACCCCCGGAGGTTGCTCACGCGATGGTCCTCGGCCCAGGCAACAACCTGTTGGTAGTCACGACACAGCCGCTCACTTCCCCAGCCAGTAACTCCCCCCAGCTTCGGGTCGACGGGCTCCAACGACGTATCGCTGGCGCACATTAAGCCCTGTCGCAGATAGTCGAAGCAGTGCCGCATGTGAGCCGCACTCATGTCCGTGCCAGGGTCCCCATTGACCTTTCTGTAGTAATTCCCATGGATTGACCACTGGATATTTCCGTGTCAGCATCGATCCCTTGAAATACAACGGGCTCCCAGAATCCAGTCAACGACCGCGACATGGCCGTTATCTGTGGAGTGTGGGTTATGAGGAGGAGCAAGGAACGGGTGGCGGCTTACCAGACAGTGAAGCTGATGCACCACAGAGAGGGTGTATAGATTGTGGCTCCCGCGGGGAAACTGTACAGTCCCTTGTCCAACTGCGAGCCTCGGTCAGTCTATGGCTTCCTCAAGGCTAGTAGGGGTGGGGGGGTCTCGCGTGTTAGTGCTTACCGGGAACGATCGACTCCCACGCCTCCGAGGTACCTTTGTGGTCGGGAGCTTCTCCAAATGTGCGATTGTAGTGGAAAGTCTGCGGAATGACTTTGATAGCAATGTCGGGTGCTGGGATATCCGACGCTGCTTGTTGCGAGCCTGCTGCGCAGCCGAAGAAGGGACGCTGCGGCGCCAGAAGAAACACCCCAACCAGAGCGCCGAAACTGAATGCAAAGACTGCAATCAAGCACGACAAAATCTTGGGGTGTCTTGATTCAGTTGATGAGCTCTGTGTTGGTCTTTTCGCTTCAGTCTCTTCGTCTACCAGTTGGTATTTGAAGCTGCGTCTTGTGAAGAATGGCATGTTGCGTGGCGGGTTGATGTGCGAGATGGGACTGCATCGCAGAAAGAAATCCAGTAAAATGCTAGTATATATAAAATATCATTTGAAAATAAAAAGAAACCAGAGTCACTCACCTGATCACGCCACATCATGCTGGCCCGTTAGCTATGGCTGCACACACCCCTCCTCCCGAGATGCATGGTGGTGGTGCCAGGCCCTCAATCAGCGGGGTCTGGTTTAGCAGCATACTTGGAAACGCATCTTGTAATCCAGCATTGTACTAGATTTTTTTTCTTGAATCTTCAAAACATTGAAAATCAATTGCCTGTACAATGTTTGGTTCAGACAAGATTGCACGAAGCAGCGCCGATTCGATTTTGGATGGAGCTCAAGAGAGACTGCTGGACTCGGACAGCGAAAACGGGCACATTCCACCTACCCAGACACCACGCAAAAGATCAATTCATATTCCCGTGTGGGCGCATGGCATCTTCTTTTCACTATACACTGCATTGTTTCTTGTTTTGACACTGCGCGCTCCGTCTGGGAGCAAATCTGAAAGTCATCTCCCTTGTAAGTCGTGCCACATTGAACCGCAGCAAGTTCCAGTTTCGTTTTGGATTTTTTTTTAACGTTGAAGCAGTACCCTCGAGAGAGGGCCTCATTTGGGAGGACCGCAAATTTCCCACGGCGATTGTCGACAACCCATTTACCGGAGAGCCCCGAGAAGAGTTGGACGAGGCGTGGCACGAGCTTTTGAAAAGTAAGCCGATGCGGCTACACTGGTCACGAAATAAGTTTGCTAAATATGGGGGTAGATGACAACATTCTTGTGCCAAAAGATTACCTGGATGAAAGGGGACTGCACTCTGTGTACACCAAGGAGGGCGACGAGGGAGTCGCTTCCCTCAGTGTCTATCATTCGCTGCATTGTTTGGTAGGAACAAAAAAGGATTTGCGCTGCCGCCCGCCAAATAGCTAACAGCCTCGTCGCAGAAAAAAGTCAAGCGCATGCTCTTCAAAGAGCACTACCACAAGGACAAGACGGGCGACGCCATGGCTCGCGAAGAAAAGCACGTCGGTACGTGATTTCTCCCCGCAGATCACAGCCCACGATGAATGTCTAATAACAGCCCTCTCCAAGATCATTGTGTCGAGTATATCCGCGAGGCGCTCATGTGCCAGCCCGACCTGTCCATGGTGACGTTTCGCTGGATCAATAACACGGCGCAGCATAGTGATAAATCTGGATTCTGGCCGACCAATTTCGACGTCGACAGGCATCGTTGCGCAAACTGGGAGGCGCTGGACTCGTGGGCAGGACAGCGGGCGTTTAATTTGTTCGAGGTTGACAAGCTAGACCGGCCGATGCCAGAGTAAAATATGCCATTTCAATAAAACCGTCCATCCATCTATCTATCTATCCATCCATCCATCCATCCATCTATCTATCTATCTATCTATCTATCTATCGATGTTTATTCCATGTAGTATCAAGCAAATATCTGCCTCCCAAATGACCAATCATCATGTCTACGTCTTTAGCATGGCCTCTACAATACCGTCGGCGTCCTCCTGCATCGGCAGCCAAATCTTGACCACGTCGAATCCCGCCTTGTCCAGTAGCTCGCGCCACTGACTCTCGGTCCGCTCCATGCCCGCATTAAAAGCCATCATGGTCATGTCCAGCATCGCATGGAACGTGGACGCGCCCTTTGCAGGCACAATCATCTCGTGAAGCAAAAGCTTGGAATATCTGGGCTTCATGGACTTTTTTAGAGGTTCCAGAATCTCGAGACATTTTTCGTCGGACCAGTCGTGCAAGATGTGGTGGTAAAAGTATGCACGCGCGCCTGTGCACTCGTGTTAGTAATTTTTTTCTTTTTTTCTTTTCTCTTTTTTTTTTCCCTTTTTCTTTTTCTTTTTGCCTTTTTCTTCTCTCATGTCTGTATTGAATAGCTCACCTTTAATCGGCTGTTCCGTGAAAAAGTCATAGGTCATTACCTCAATCGCGGGATCAATCGTGCCCTTGACGCTCTCCGTCACAGAGCCCAAATCTTGCAGCACAAGCTTTCCTCTGCCGGGGTACTTTGCATAAAAGGCAAGCAGATCGTGGCCCTTGCCGGCGCCGACGTCGACGAGCAGCGGCGCCTCGTCCTTGTTCGTCGCGCCGTCCAAGAGCTGCTGCTCGACGGGATACCAGTCGACCCAGTAGTTGCGCGCCCCCATGGTGTTGCCCATGAAGAGGTTAAAGTCTTTGAGAACGTGCGGGATGGAGCTAAACAGCTCAAAGGTGGTCAGCTTGGTCTGAAAGGCATATTGCATGAGGCCGTCGCGGGGATTGGTGGGACACCGGTAGCCGTATTCTTTCAGGTATTTGGGTGCTTTTTGCGCCGCGCCGACAATCATTTGGCCGCTGGGTTTGTCAGTGTTTGAGCTTACTTTTCCCGCATATATCATATACTATCCAGACTCACATCATTCTATGGCCTGCGGCAATCTCTTCGGTCGCCATTGCGTGTGTCACTGGTGTTGGCTCCCACTGTCGCTCGCCCGCCTCCTTGACGACTCCGACCGAGGCAAGAGGTCGCAACGTGCGGACTAACAAAACATGTCAGAAATATATATATAGTCATTGTTGTAAAGGTGTCTGCCTACTTATTAGCAGCTCTTCACCACCCGACTTTTCCGCCAGCTCTTTCGAAGAGATTGGCCCATTATTGTCTGCAATGAGCTTGAACAAGCCCATGCCAATCGCAATTCGAGCTGCTACTGTGATGAACGGCTTCAAATGAATTCTATATTAGCAGCTGTCAGATATCAAAAGGGTAGTCGAGAAAAAAGTACCGCAAAAGCCAACTCAACGGCAGAACTGGCAGGATGAGACAAGCTACTGGTAAGCTGTCGACTGAGTTGTATCGCCTGGTTCTTGGCCTCTGTATTGTCGCCATCTGCCAGCTGAGTCGAAAGCTTCGACAGCTGCTCAATCAACGCGATGCTCGGATTTACTTGTGCCATGGTAGATGTCTGGTGTCTTGTATATGGTCAGATTGGCATTTCCTTTTTTTCTTTTTTTCTCTTTGCCTTGTTGGTTGCGACGAGCTGTAGTCAGTTCACAATGGCATCCCAGAAATAGCCCCCGCATGGTATCCATCTGTAGAACAAAGGAGTTCCTCGACGCTTACCTGCAAGCCACCAACAGAGTTTCTCGAGGCATTAAAATGATGGAAAAAGGTACTTGCGATATAGACACACCCCCCAGCCATGTACCTACCACACGGTGTGGTTGCCGCGATCGTCCTTTTATGACTCCACAGAGAGCCTAGAAACCCAATGGTGCCAGCCAACGAATGGCAATGGCCATTTTAGGCAAGGTTTTCGTATTCCGTTCCAAATTCTAATTCTAATGCTACGCTGACATGTCTTGCCTACAGGCCCCTCGGGCTCACTTCTAGCCCGCTTGTGACCTCATGCCTAGTAATTTTGAAAGGATGGTGTATACTCGTCGCTCAGCATGCTATGCTGAGCCTGTCAGCCTTGGCTCGGCGATCATGTGTTGCTGCATGCCTGTCGACAAAAATGCTCTGAAAACGGTTGCTTCTTGTCGATTAAATCTGCATCTTGAATTTTCCCTCTTGTCGCACCTGCACATTCTACAAGATTGCACTGTTGTATGAACAAACACTGGCTCATCATTCTCATCTCGCGGTAGAGTCCTGCTCTCTGAGTCACAGTCAAGATGGCGATTCAAGGGCTTGGTATTTCCGTCATGTGCGTCACATGGGTATTCACAGCGCTTTCCATCATGATTATCTCGGGGCGCATCTATACCCGAACTCGTCTATTGAAGAAAATCACCATCGACGACTATCTCGTCGTCTTTACCCTAGTAAGTGACGTCCCTGCTAGTTCTACTCCATCGTTACCAGCCTTTTTCCCATTATCCGATCGTTGTTTTATTTATTGATGGCGACTAGTTACTATCGTTGGGCAATGCCGCGCTCCTATCAGTATCTTGCTACTACGGCCTCGGCCAAAACATCACCAGTCTCGCGGACCCCCACCGCATCGCCATGACTCTCAAATACGTCTACCTATGCGAATTCTTCTCCATCATGTGTCCTTGCTTCGGTCGCATCTCGTTCGCCCTTATGCTCCTTTCTCTGACGCCCCCGACCGTAACGCGGCGCGGACTTCTCTGGACCGTCATCATCACCGCCTTTATCATCGACGTGGGCACACTCATCATCAGCTTTTCTCAGTGCAGGCCCATTGCCGCCTTCTGGGACGGCCGAGAGAATCCCGATTGCTGGCCCAAAGAGGTACAGCGAGACGCCGGTTTTTTCCAAGGGTGTAAGTGCTGGAGTCGGCAAGTCATCAATTTGAGACGGGAATACTGATTTCCTACCCTTACAGCCTACGGATCAGCGGTGGATTTGACATTGGCAGCTTTTCCAACCAGCTTATTCTGGAATCTGAGAATGTCTCTCAAGCAGCGAATCAGCCTGAGTATCATGATGGGCTTTGGCGTCTTGTAAGTGTCGTGGGTGACACCATAGCGTCTATTTCCTAACACATTCATAGCGCCATGGCCGCATCAATCTTCAAAACAGTAGAGCTCCAAGCCATCACCAACACAGAGAATGTGACGTGTAAGTTAATCTCGAAACACAATTTGTACCATCACTAATTATATCTCTAGACGAAATGGCCAAACTCGCCATCGGCTGGACGTAAGCAAACATGTCAACTCCTGCCCAAAAAAATGGAAGCTTACCTGTGTTAGTCTGGAAGCAAACTTTGTTCTCATTGCCGCCTCGATTCCAACATTGCGACCAATTTTAAAGTCCAAGAAGCAAAAGGAATATCGAAACAGCTACAGTCAGCGATCCGTGCCGAACCGCCGAACCGGTCAATTTCCGTTTGAATTGCTCGATGACGACGCGCTGCACGGAGCCACAGTCGAAACAAAGGGTGAATCGGATATTTCAGCCTATCAGATGAGCACCGTTTCTCACAGCGAGGAAGGCGCATTCCCAGAAGTTGACAGAATTCGTCGGGATATCACCGTTGCTGTTTCGTATGAGCGGCCATGAAATGGCAACACTTTGCGTGGCTGGGTGCAGCATGTGGAAATTGGTCGTTCCTTACAGTGCCTGATTTTGGTAGCTGTGGCACTATTTACCTATATGTGGCGTTTTTTTATTTTCGAATTAATGATAGGAAAGGCTCTCTCCTATACATATGTGGCGTTTTCTATTTCGAATGAATGACAGAAAGGCTCTTTCCTTTTTACGTGTGTCCGGCGTTTCTATTTCAGATTAACGGCATGAAAAGCCCGTTTCTATTTACGTGTGCCCGGCGTTTCTATTTCGAATGAACGACATGAAAAGCCCGTTTCTATTTACGTGTATCCGGCGTTTCCTGTTTCGAGTTAATAACTAAAAATCAGCCTTCCTCTTACGGATATGTGGCGTTTTCTATCTCGAATAAATGATACGAACGGATTTTTGCTGTTCTCGGTATTTAATATTCCACCCTTTGGAGTGGTGTTCATTACTTTGGTTACTCCGCAAACTGTAGCGTAGTATGGCCTATTACTCTCACACAGTCACCAAGAGTCAAATCAGCTTACCTGTATAGTCACTTTTAGATTCTCCCGTAATCCATTTCCAAAAACCATCCTTCTCTATAGTTGCTCCTTTTCTTGAGCCTTTCTCGCGGTTGACGCCCGCCATCGATCGCAACGGCATCCTTGTAAGAGGTCCAGGGTGGCTGCCGGGACGGTGACTAATATACTTACCCCATTGGGAAGCCAACCGAAAATTTCTCACCGCCTTTTTTTCCCAAGTGGCAGAAAGCTGAATCTTTTTCTACCTTCAGACTAGCAAGTAAGTACAGGCAAATCTTCAACCACAAATCGAACATTTCGCGCAACCGACACCATGCCGTCGACACACGATCGAGACAAGCCGTGGGATACGGAAGATGTTGACAAGTGGAAGATTGAAAAGTTCAAGCCCGAGGACAATGCTGGAGGCACCTTTGCCGAGGAGTCGTCGTTCATGACCTTGTTTCCCAAGTACCGCGAAGTGTACCTGAGGGAGGCTTGGCCGCTCATCACCAAGGCGCTCGAAAAGAATGGCATTGCCTGCACCCTGGACTTGGTCGAGGGCTCGATGATGGTCAAGACGACCCGCAAGACGTTTGATCCGGCAGCCATCCTCAACGCGCGCGACCTGATCAAGCTGCTAGCCCGCAGCGTGCCCGCGCCGCAAGCCATCAAGATTCTCGAAGACGGTGTCGCATGCGACGTCATCAAGATCCGCAACCTCGTCGGCAACAAGGACCGCTTCGTCAAGCGCCGGCAGCGCATCCTCGGCCCCGACGGCTCGACCCTCAAGGCGCTCGAGCTCCTGACGGAGACGTACATTCTCGTGCACGGCAACACCGTCTCCGTCATGGGCCCCTACAAGGGCCTCAAGGAGGTGCGGCGCGTCGTCGAGGACTGCATGGCCAACATTCACCCCATCTACTACATCAAGGAGCTCATGATCAAGCGCGAGCTCGCCAAGGACCCGGAGCTCAAGAACGAGAGCTGGGACCGCTTCCTGCCCAACTTTAAGCGCAAGACGCTCAGCCGGCGCCGCACGCCGCACAACATCACCGACAAGACCAAAAAGGTCTACACGCCGTTCCCGCCCGCGCCCGAGAAGAGCAAGGTCGACAAGCAGATTGAGAGCGGCGAGTACTTTCTCAGCAAGCAGGCCAAGCAGCAGGCCGCACGCACGGAGCGTCTGGAGAAGCAGAAGCTGCGCAAGACGGAAAAGGCAAAGGAGCGCGAGGCTGATTTTGTGCCGCCCGAGGAGGGCGAGCGGCCCAAGAAGAAGAGAAAGAAGGCCGAGTAAAAAGGGGCGGCGAGTGGGACAGGGACTGGGAAAAGTTGGGGCTTCTTGTTTACATTTGGGGCGTTTTACGGGTTGCATCTTGTTGTACGTTACGAATAGCGTTTCTAGTATATTATACATGTTGTCACTAACAAAAGGTTGCGGCGTGAAGTGCTGAAGAAGGTGATGGACGAATCGACAAAGTAGGCATGTCACAGCAGTATGTCTGTTTTTTTCAGTGGCTGCCGCTGAATACTTGGTGGCTTGCTGAAAATCGTCATTATTCGTCAAGATACCTATGAATGACTTCGGCGAAGCGTTGAAGCACTCAGAGGGGATGACGGTTGTGGAGTTGGTCATGTTGGTGTTGAGATTTCAGCTGCAGAGGTCGCCGACCGCGGACGTTGTTCCGGCCCCAGCTGACGGACGTTTTGAGGCATATTGTCTTAGCCACATGCCCGTCATTTTCCAGCAAGGAATGCAAGGCATGACGTTGGTTGTGCATATCGACTGCCCGGCTCGTTGGTCAGCTACGACGACGACGACGACGACAGTATAAATCTACGGGGTGTAACCGGCATGCGTTTCGGCTCTCATGACGGCCGAAAATCGTTCTTATATTCGCCATGATTCGAGACCGACAGCCCGAGGGTCTGTCGCTTTATATGTACGAATGAAGCCTCGCGACCGGGGAGACCATTCGTGCATTCCAAAGACTCCCGAAACGTCACCAGTGTTCTTTGTAGGCATGAGAATCACGGCTGAGACTACAGCATTCAGCCCTCTCTCAGCCTCTGTACTTACCAGCCTCAGTATTTTCAGCACCTGGCGCCATTTACATCATGGTCTCGGGGTCGCAAGAGGGTGAATTCACATAAATACCAGGCTCTTCTCCCACCTTTGCTACCAGCATCGCAACATCAAGAAACTCTTCATCAAACCTACTACAAAACAAGCTCTCACGTTTTATTTGCCCCAATTTCTACCTTTAAATTACACCTCAAACCAGTCAAAATGAAGCTTTATGTCATCCTTCTTGCCGGTCTGGCGGCTGCATCTGTCGATGTCGATGCAGAGTCGGCAGCGGCCAGGTGCAAGCCCGCTACGTATAGATGCGACCCTCATCGCAATGGTTGGAACGTGTGCAATACAAGCGGTGAATGGGTTGTATGTGAACTCTTACAATAATGCATTGTCGACATGGCTTGCTAACAGATTCGCCGCAGATTGGAGGCAAGTGCCCGTGGCGAACGGTTTGTTGGTTCGACAGGCGAAATGGATCACCTTACTGCATCCCTCCCGGCGGCAAGGAGGCAAGTGATCTGTAGCATACTCAAGTCGTCTCTGGGGCCAAGATGGACGAGATTGTATCGGGTTGGTTGAGACTCGAGCTATTCAGAGCGAATACTGGAAATGCACGACATGAATTGTATGACATGGCGTATGATTCGTTCCATGGCAATTAACAGATGATACTATTTTAAGCAGTGTGCATAAGCTTTGTTCCAGACGACTCGGTAAATAATTCTATTCTTGTGTGCAGTGTTGTTCATTATTTCTTGCAAACCGCAATGTAAAATCAGTTTCACTGGCTATCAAAGGCCATCATTATGCCGTCGTCAGCCGACGAAATCATACATCATCTTAGAACAGAGTTGAATAACAAGACGAATCTTACAGCTTTGCACTCTCGTCATCAATCTCAATCACAAGCTTTCCGAATTGGCTGCCAGCAGCCATGACGTCAAACAGACCGTTAATCTGGTCGAGGTTGCCCAAGCCGCGGATGCTCTGGCTGACGACGGGCTTAATCTTGTGCTTATTGACAAACTCCACCATGTCTGTAAACTCTTGCCGCGAGCCCATGGTGCTCCCACGCAGGTCAATGTTTGCCAGCACCGCCTTCATCAGCCACTCCATCTTGGGGCCGACCGTCATGCCGTACTGCGCAATGATGCCGCCGTGGCGCAGCACCGACGCCGTCTCGTTGACGACGGATCCGCCCGCACCATCAATGACGGCGTCGAGAAACGGGCGGCCCTTGGGCAGCAGCGTCTTCTTGAGGGTGCTGCCCCAGCGCGGCTCCTTGTAGACGACGCCGCCCTTGGCGCCCATGGCCACGGCCTTGTCAATCTTGGCCTGGTCGCCCGACGTGACGTAGGCGTTGCTGCCCATGGCGACGACGAACTGCAGGACCTGCAGGGCGACGCCGCCGCCGATGCCCGTGATGAGCACGTTCTTGCCGGGGCCGTCGATGCCGGCCTTGGTCACGAGCGCGCGCCAACCCGTAAGCCCGACGAGCGGCAGGGCGGCGGCCTCGACGGGGGATAGGTGCGGCGGCATGAGCTCGACCTCGGCGGCGGGCGCAACGACATAGTCGGCCGCGCAGCCGGCGTCGGTGCCCTGCTGGCTGCCGCAAATGACGAAGCGCGACGGGTCCTCGGGGCCCTGCGGGTCGCGGTCCCAGCCCCGGCTCGGCGTCAGGATGACGGCCTGGTTCAGGAGGCGCGCTGGGTGGGCGACGCCGGACCCGACCTCGACGACGACGCCGCAGCCGTCGGCTAGCAGCGGCTTGGCGGGGTCAATGTTGGGGTAGAGGTGCTGTCGGATAAAGAGGTCGCGGTGGTTGAGGGCGGCGGCGGTCATGCGCACAAGGACGTCGTGAGGGCCGGGCGTGGGCTTGGGGACCTGCTTCACCTGGATGCTGCAAAGGCGACAAGTGATTAGATGACGATGCGCGGAAGATGGGATAGGTGGGTGGGGAGGGGGGGGGGGGGAGGTTGCGTACGGGTAGTAGACTTTGCCGGGCTTGGCGCCTTCGATGTTGACGAGCTGGAGTGAGCGTGGCATGATGACTGCTTCCAATTGACGTTTTTGGGAATGCAGTTTGTCGAAGATGAAGGTAAAGAATCTGGGGTAGGTTTGAACATATATGGATATCAGCTACCAGTATGTAGGCGCTGCGGTGACGGCAGACGTCCGGCCCCACGTCCGCGGGCGGTGGCTACCTCGGCTAGGACGGGGAGATTTACGATCCAATGCCGGGAACGGGGTCAATTAAAGATATGAGTCCGGAGAAATAATGATTGAGGCACTTTCAATTCAGTACGGAATAATGGCATACTTTGATATATATTGCTGGATTATAGTTTAAACAAAACTGGTGTAAAAACCGAAGCTAAATGCAGGCATCGACGGACGAGCGGATGCGTAACGTAGACTGGATAAATAATTCACTGACCGTGAAGTCAATGCTCAGGGCTTACCTAACAAGACTGTCCTACTCTTTAAACAAGTGGACCAGGGAAAATATAATGATATTTCGCAAGAACTAAATCGTGCTCCTTTTCCTCTGCATCCTGTCTGTCTGATAACTTACGGGGGCTTTCATAGTGGATCGATACCCCGGAGCCACTGTAACATCAACCTCGGGGACAAGACGAATTAATCCCCGGAGCTTCTTCTTTTTTTTTTTTCGAATTTCGAAACATCGCCGAAGTTTGGCGACTTTTTTTTACAAATGCCAAGCTGCGTCCTTGCCTCCCAGCGTCTCTCGTGTATCAATCAGATCAATTAGATTTGCCCAACATCGGCGAGGCAAATCTGTTATATCAACGGGACTTTTCACCCACCAGCTTGGCGTCATTTCTCTCCCAATGTCGTGACTGACTCCATCCATCGCTCCTAGTTGACTAACATCCGCTCAACCACCACCGCCTTTCCGCCTTCTCTCCCCATTCCCGCGTCCACACGCCAAAATCATCCCCCTATCTCTTTCCAGTTCTCTGCACAATGGCCACCGTCCTCTCCGGCGCCTCCTTTGGCGCCGCCATGATTGCCGCCGGCTTCTACAACCCCGCCGTCGTCGTCGCCCAGCTTCGCTTCGAAAACTGGCACATGGTGCAAGCCTTTCTCGCCGCCACCGCCTCCAGCATGTACGTACCCCCTCCATCCGCGATCCCCCCATCCTCTCCCAACGTCCCCCAATACTCACAACACACAACCCCTTTCTGTAGCGTCTACTACGCCGTTAGTGACCGCACCGGGTACACCCGCCTCACGCCCCGCGCCTCCGCCCCCGTCGGGCTGCTACCCACCACCTACGACGGCAACATCCTCGGCGGCGCCCTCCTCGGCGCCGGCATGGCCCTCTCGGGAAGCTGTCCCGGTACACTATTCGCGCAAATGGCCGCCGGCGTGCACACCGGCTTCTACGCGCTCGCAGGCGCCGTCGTCGGCGGCGTCCTTTGGACCGGCATCCTCAGCAAGGCCGTAGCGCGGCAACGCGCGCGCGCCGGCCACAACAAGCCCGAAACCGTCACCATTGACCAGTACCTCGGCATCTCCAAGCCCGCCGCCATGCTGCTCTACGAAGCCGGCTTCGCGGCCGTTGTCAGCATCACTTGGCTGTACACCCCGCGCTTTCCGGGGACCAAGATGCCGGGCGCGCTGGGCGGCTTGCTGATTAGCCTGTCGCAGCTGGCGTCGATTGCGACGCGCGGCTCCATGATTGGCATCTCGGGCTCGTTTGGCGAGCTCGGCGGCCTGGTGTGGGCGGCGCTGGCGGGCGAGGATGCGGCGGCGCGGCCCGCGGCGTTTCCCAACGTCCTCTTTGCGGTATCGGCTGGTGCCGGCGCGCTGCTGCTGGCCACGCTGGCCCCGACGCTCGTGGACGCGCCCGTGCTCGAGGTCGCGCCGGCGCAGGCCGTTTTGGGCGGCGCGCTGATGGTGGTGGGCGCGCGCATGGCGGGCGGGTGCACGTCTGGACACGGCATCAGCGGCATCTCGCTGCTGTCCACGTCGAGCCTGATTACGATTGCGACGACGTTTGCGGCTGGCTTTGTTGTTGCGAGTCTTGTATATTAGCTAGATACCCAGGTCAACAGTTTTCTGTTTATAAAAGTGTGGTCCTCGCGTGGGCATCCCCGGAGCTCTACTTTTTGCTGCAGCCCTTTTTGGCCGTGACTTCAATTTCAATCTTCATCTCCTCCTTCATCAGCGCCGCCTGTATCATGGTCGCCGCCGGGCGCACCTCGCCAAACCACCTCTTCAGTACTGGCCACGTCGTGGGGAAGTCGTTGCGGTCGGGCAGGATATAGTGCACGCGGACTACGTCAGCCATGCAGGAGCCGGCGTCTTGTAAGGCCTTGTCAATGTTGAGTAGTGTCTGCTCAGCTTGCTCCACGACGTCGGGGGAAATTTCACCCGTCTCATAATTGTATCTTGGTGACAGCTTTAGCTATACACGTGGTTTTGCAGAAGAATGAAGCGAATTACCCAGTTGTGCCGGACACGACGATCCAGTCGTCGTCGAGGACAACAGCGCGGCAGTAGCCAATCTGGTATTCAAAGGAAGAGCCGCCGCTAATGTTCTGTCGAGGCATGTTTAAATGATGAAAAAATGTTTGGAATCTGATTTGGAGTTGGAAAGATGGCTATACTCATCCCATGTACATGTCAATGTCACTGGCAAGTTGAAGCATGTCGTGAGTCACAAAGTTGAGCTGAGGTGGGGGTAGCAGCTGTCTAGTAGCCATCCTGGCTCAACCGCCAATTGTCTAAAGACATGTGGAATGCACCTCGGACATCGTACATTATGCGTGAAGCGGCAAAGATATAGTACATAGCGCAAGCTTTTCTCTAGCCTATCGTACACGTCCATTCACCATTCCCGACCCTTGTCTTGCATCAGCCACATGTCTCCTCACGATGCCGTCACCTTCTTAACAAGCTCCGCCAGTGACTTTCTGTCCACATCCTTGCCCTCCAGCGCCGTATTCAACCCCTTCATCACATTTCCCATGAGGGTTCTACCCTCCGCGCCCGCCGCCCGCACCTCCCCCACCACCTTATCCACCAGGGCGCGCAGCTCCGCCTCGCCGAGCGTCGCTACGCCGCTGCCCTGCATGTACTCGGCGAGGATGGCCACCTGCGCGGCCTCCTTGTCCACCAGGTCCTGACGGCCCGCGGCCCGCGCCTCGGCCGCCGCGTCCTCGGCGCCCTTGGCAATCTTGCGCATCAGCGCCACCAGCTGCACGTCCGTCTTGATGGGCGACGCCGTCTTGGAGGCGTTGAGGTTGGCGGCCATGATGGCGCGCAGCACAGACAGCCGGTTGGCATCCTTGGCGCGCATCGCCGTCTTGAGGTCGCTCTTGAGCTTTTGCAGCAAGGGGGGTGGCGGCGGCAGGTCGTCGGCCGAGGAAGAGTAGAGGCGGTTGAGAAGGGTGGGTTGTTGGAACCGCGGTCCGGCGCGCAGTGTGATGGGGGCGGTGCGGACGCGCAGAGCCGCAGAGGCAATTCTTGACGACATTGTAAAGGGTTTGAAGCAGTTGTGTGTGCAATTGGGGGTCGACAGGAGGTGTTGTACGAGGTTGAAGATACAAAAGTGCTGGTCGAGAAAAAGTTGTCTGGCCTCCTTGTCACCTGAAGCTCCTGTGGGGCCGTACTACAAAGGCATCTGAGCAGGCCTACAAGTTACAATGATGGCCATTACGTTATTGTCGAGCCATTCTCCAGCACCACTATCAGCAGGACTTTTATAGGCCACTTCATCTAGCTTTTACACGTCTGTTGAACCATGATTACGGCAAAGGACAATGTCCTGCCTTAATTGCTTGCGGGTACACAAAGTCGTTGTTCCTGGGTTCGGTATTTGACCAGACGATGATGTTGCCTGCATTAGTGCCGACCCTCCAATGGGGCATGTTCGGGCTCATATTAGCTTTCTTTCATTATCACAGCGGAATGGCGGGCCGAGTTGCTCTAATATCGGATTAACGCATATGGACAGGACAGCACAAGCAGAACCTCCCATGTTAGACCCTGCGTCATAGAGTGATGCATGCTATAATAGACACAGCCGTCCCAGGTCAGACCCAATTCCCTCTTTCTCGCGGCAAAAACATTTTACACTAATCTAGTACATCAAATCAATTAAATTCCTAGGTTGAACTCGACACCGACATCAATATCGCGCGCTGCAACTCGTTAGTGGTGGATTGATATGCTAAGCAGGCCTCTCTGACTCACCAAGCTTGACAACCTTGGAAAGCTGGACAGACTTCTCAGCAGCGCTCTGGAGATCGTCGATGGAGAAAATCTTCATGCCAGAGTCGTTGATGATCTTGTGGGCCTCCTCGTTCTTGGTGCCTTGGAGACGGGCGATGATGGGAATCTTGAGGTTGAGGGCCTCGGCGGTGTTGATGAGACCGGTGGCGATGTGGTCGCAGCGGACGATACCGCCGAAAATGTTGACAAAGATGGCAGAGACCTTGGGGTCACTGGTGATGAGCTCGAAAGCCTCACGGATGGCCTGGGGCGTGGCACCACCACCGACGTCGAGGAAGTTGGCTGGCTGGCCGCCGTTGAGCTTGATAATGTCCATGGTGGCCATAGCAAGACCAGCACCGTTGACAAGGCAGCCAATGTCGCCGTCGAGCTTGATGAAGTTTAGACCGCTCTTGGCAGCGCGAACCTCATCAGCATCCTCCTGGGTAGGGTCGCGCATCTCAAAGACCTCCTTCTGGCGGAAGTCGGCATTGTCATCGAAGCCAAACTTGGCGTCCATGCACAGGACCTGGTGGTCTGACGTCTCGGAAAGAGGGTTGATCTCGATCTGGGTGGCGTCCTTTTCGCGGAAGATGGTGTAGAGCTTCTGAATAGTCTCCTTGGCATCCTCGACGCACTGGTCGCTGAAGCCGAGCTTGGTGGCGATGCCGCGGGCCATCTCGTCGGTGACGCCCTTGTTGATGTCGACGTAGGTGGTGATGATGGCTTCGGGGTTCTCCTTGGCGACCGTCTCAATGTCCATACCACCCTGGGAGGAGGAGACAATAACGGGTGTCTGGGAGGCACGGTCCATGAGGATGGCGAGGTAGAACTCGCGACGGGCAAACTTGCGCTCGCAAATGTAGACGGCGCTGCAGAGGCGGCCGCCAGCGCCCGTCTGCTTGGTGATGAGCTTGTGGCCAATCATTTGCTGGGCGAACATCTCAGCCTCCTGGGCAGAGTAGATGACGCGAACACCGCCCTTGAGGCCGTTGTCGAAAGTACCCTTGCCACGACCGCCAGCGAGGACCTGGGCCTTGATGACCATGTCCTCGCCGCCAATCTTGTTGGCGACAGCCTTGGCCTCCTCAGCAGTGTGGGCAACAGCACCCTTGGGGACGCCGACACCATACTATTGCCTTGTAAGTTTCATATATTGGGGGCCAAGCGTTCGGTCGTCCGAGGGTTTAAGATTTCTTTACCTTTCTCAGGAGGTCGGCCGAGAGGTACTCGTGAATGCTGAGAGCTCTGCGTTGTTGCGTAGCACCGGGGAGTCTGACAACAGGCGATGCCTGGAGCTGTGGTTGACGATGGTTAGCGGAAGCTCCGGGAAGCTTGCAGCAGGTTAGAAAAAAATAGGGTGAGACTTGATGCGCACCTTGGAGGCTCTGGCGACCGATGCGAGCGCGCGACTGCGGAACATTGTGAGGAGATGGCGGAGGCCAATTGAAGGAAAGATGACAAAGGAAGGGGAAGAAGTCGATCGCGAAAGTCGCGAACGGGAGCTCTGACGAGGGAAAAAGGACGGGAGGATAATGTATGGCGTTTGGATGCAAGCTTAATCAGGAATCGCGATTTCTGGCCACGAGTTTGCGTCCCCGAGTTTCGCCGACTGGTGGACGCGGATAAACGTTGCGCCTGCCTCCACACTGCTAAAATCGCTCTGCCGCGCGTTCCACAACGGGGGCCCGTCATTCACCAGAAATCCAATTTTTATCAAAATTCTTTTCTCAATCTACTTGCTCTTTTCATTATTGTTCCCCTCATTTTTCCCTTTTGCAGATGCCGGGCGAAAGTACGGAAACACCATCATTGAAGAAACGTAAGGCTGTGTCAAACGAGCCATCAACCAATGGTGCAATGGCAACCCAATAACGAATGGGCTCAGCAGTGTTTCTCATGCAACAAACGAGCGTACATTTCGGCGTAGGGCTCGAATTCATTGTCTATAGACCTTCCCTTTCAATAGATCCCTGCGACAAAGCTTAACTTTCTCAAGTACTCACATCACTTAGGCAGCGATTCCCCGCTAGAAGCATGAGGGGTGCATATGGACCCTCATTACCCCAGATTTTCCCTCTCTGTTCATCTTTTTACTGATAATCAACATCAAAGGAGCTGGTGAAGTGCACATGCGAAGATGCTTGTAGACGCTAATCAAGAGAATATTTTAATTCCATTAGTTTCTTTAGCAATCTTTTTACGAACAGATTCAAACAGTTTATAAACCATTTTACTAGACGTTGAATAATATCTTCTTTCGGCGTATGCATTACCTCATCCGTTGACGGCATTCGGGGCAAGTTGTAGCCCTATCGCACCCAATCTGCGACGAGTGCGCTCTACTAGATGGCATGATTAGCGGTCGTCACAGGCCACTTGACGGACCTGAAGCTTTCGGGGGCTACTGCAAGCTGCAGCGGCCACGTTGAGGCAGCATGACAGCTCATGCAAATTTGACCGAGAAAAACCGCATCAATTCGTTCCGGTACTTCGAAAGAATTAACAATAAGCAGCGTTTCGCCGTTTGTCAAGTCACGCCCCAACGTTTGATTGGGCTGCTGGAGCGTACAGAAATCATACCATCCACTCGCAGACCCCCCCTGGCTACGCTCGCTTCGTTTCCCTGATACTTTTGCTACTCCAAGTTAATCAAATTTGCCGCTTGCTTGGAATTTGCTTCTTCATTTCCATCTGAGATTTGCACTCGTCATTCACGCCACTAAACAAAAGCGGAGCATCGCAGCCCTGCAGTTGCGCTTCCCAGAGAGCTAGTGATGGCCTCCTCTACTCCCGTCGTGTACGCGATTTCTCGGCCATCAAAATGTCGGAGAGCAAGCACTCGATGCGCTTAGCTTCTACGCCGTACCACGAACCCGAAATCTTAACCATTCTCATCCAGTCATCGTTCCTGCTTCTCCTCAATGTCGTCAACTTTTTGCTAGACAAGGCTGTTTACTGCGGCCTTTTGGGGCAAGTTTTTATCGGAGTCGCCTGGGGCACGCCGGGCGCGAATTGGATAGGCGCCAATGCCGAAAGTGCCATTGCTCAGTTGGGTTATCTTGGCCTATTGCTTCTGGTCTACGAAGGTCCGTAAATCGCGCTGGTCTTGCGATGCGTGGCGCTGACAGAAGCAGGCGGCTTATCTACATCCCTACCCTCTCTCAAAGCCAACCTTTTCTTGTCCCTCTGGGTAGCGATAACGGGAATAAGCTTGCCCATCGGGCTGTCCTTTGTTTTGCGACATGTAATTGAGGCTTCGCCGCTACAGTGCTTTGCTGCAGGCGCGGCATTGTCCTCGACTAGCCTGGGAACTACCTTTACGGTACTGAGTACCAGCGGCTTGGCACAGTCCAGACTCGGGGTGGTCCTGACGAGTGCTGCAATGATGGACGATGTGATTGGGCTAGTCATGGTACAAGTCATATCGAATTTGGGCCAGGACAGCGGCTCCTTGAATGCGATTATTGTGGTGCGGCCTCTTTTAGTGTCAGTTGGGTTCGCTGTTGTCGCGCCTCTGATCTGTCTGTTTCTTGCCTCGCCTACAACCGCATGCCTCAACAGACGCCGGAGAAGCAACCCACAAGGCAATCTGAACAAGGCTATGAGTTCTCGTCAAACACCATTCGTACTTCATACACTCATACTAATCGGCTACATTACTGCTTCCAGCTATGCCGGTACATCGAATCTGTTCGCTGCGTATATTGCCGGAGCCTCAATCAGTTGGTGGGACTCGGAAGTTGATCATGTACAAGTTGCAAGTGAGCAAGAACCTACCAATGCAGCAGCAGACGCAACGGGCTCGACGAGCTCAGTTATCTCGTCAGCCGACGCCTCCGGCCTTGGCACATATAATAGGGTATATTCCGCGACAGTCGAGACAGTGCTGCGGCCATTCTTCTTCGTGAGTGAAGTGAAGACCTATCATATGTCAATCTCAGCACCAGCTCATTGCTATTAGGCTTCCATTGGATTTTCGATACCAATCACCGAAATGTTTACTGGCGAGATCGTTTGGAAGGGGCTGGTGTATACACTCTTGATGGCGCTTGGAAAGCTATTCTGCGGAGTTTGGCTACTCCGGCTTCCCAGAAAACTCACGCGCGCAGCAAAAATGCCACTTCAGAGACGTGGCAAGAAGGTTTCTAGTTCAAAAGGCAAACTGTCCGGCAAACCCCCCACGGAAACCGCTGGGCCTATGCTCAGCGCTGGAGAAGCAGCTTCTCATGCCAGTGGTCATGACGTCTCCACGGCTAGTCAAGTGCTGTCGCGCACAAATAGATCCAAGCAAGTGTCCAAGGATACCAGACCAGCCGGTGTCAAGCCACGGTCAGTCTATCCTGCCTCCATTCTTGGCTGCGCTATGATGGCCCGAGGAGAGATTGGCTTTCTCATTTCGTCTATTGCCGAGAGCAAGGGGATATTCACCAACAAAGCAGACACGGGTCCTAACTCGAAGATTTTCCTCTGTGTCACTTGGGCCATCATGTTATGCACAGTCATAGGCCCATTGGCTGTTGGGCTGCTTGTCCAACGCATCAAGAAGTTGGAAAGGCAGGTAGAGAAAAGCGGTGGGCAGGTCAAGGGCGACGTGCTCGGTGTTTGGGGTATAACTTAAAGTTAAAAAGCGTATTGTTAGTCCCGTCAGAGACAATACGTACGTATCACGCGTCGATTTAGTTAGTATTAATTGTTTATTCGTTAATAGAAGCTCTTACCTATAGTAACTAATTTCGGTAAAAAAGCTAGGTTAAATATTAATTTAGGCTAATAAAAGGGCTATATTTCTTAGAGAATAATTATTTAAAAGAATATAATAAGTTAAATATCTTAGAAGTAAATTTTTTTTATTATTTATTAAAAGCTTTATAAATTATTATTAC